AGGGATTTAGAAGACGGAGTGTATAACAGAATATAGAAAATGGGTTTATTATTTTATTCAGAGAAGTAAGCTTGGTGTATTGTCCTCTTATTTCAGAATTGTACGTATTAGATATAAACATTTTTCACCGCATCTGATAAAAACATTAGTGGGAAAAATAGTTTCCTGGATCATGCTGGAATTACTGATTTATTTATTCCTTTTATCACAGCTTCTCTTGGTCTGTAGTAAAAGAGATTATCTGTGAACCTTTAAATGGAATTATAAAGGCCAGATTAAAATATTCTGAAAACATGTTGTCAGCATGAAAACTGAAGTTGCATAATTTGATGAGATCAGGTTTTGACTCAGTTTGTTTATTTAGTGGTAAAGATGCACTCTTGCTATTTTACATGATAGACATAAAATGATGGGATTCATCTTGCCTACATCTACCTGAGATTGTGGTGCTCCCTTGATATCTGATACAGATCATATATATCTTCAAAGGTCAGTTAATCTCCTCCGAAACAAGAGAAATTGAGATACATATAAATTATTATTGAGAGCTCTCTCATTGCAGCAGCGTAAAATTCAAGACAAATAATTTATCTATCCAAAAATACATATGTTCATCCACTCTGAACTACTTGCAGAGTGGTTGCAGTTTCTCAAACTCTCGTAGGCCTACACATACTGCCTACATATGTATGCAGGGGTCTAAACAGTAAGTGTGATTTTGTGCTTAGTTACCACTTTGAATTAACTTCACTCAAGCTGTTAATTTTTTGTAATACTCATAACATGATACACCCCAAGGAAGAGTCTAATTTCATTTATTTTATGCCAATAGCAAAGCAAAGAAATAAGGTAAAAAGCAACTGAGATCTGTAGGGAAAGCAGCATTTCCATGGGTAGATCTTCATTTCTGTTTTCATCACAACTCTCTTGAGTGCCATTATCCCCTAATTATCTGCAGCGATCAGGATCTTTCTATTCACCTTGGGGTTTAGGAGCTTTTTCTGCTAAAGAGAAATACAAATTTAAAAGCAAATTAATTATATAATTAGTCAATTATGTTTTCTTCAAGACAGTATTCTCCCTCTATTTTCTGTAGCTTTCTTTTTTGTCTACCATTTCCTCTGATTAGGAGTTGGATTTTTTCTTGTTTTCCTTTGATGTCCTTCATAGGATCCTAGGATAAGTCAGTTTACAAGGGACCTCCAGAGGTCTCTAGTCCAATGTCAGAAATAGTATCAAGTCAGATTGTTCAGGGGTTTATCTAGTCTTATCTATAAAACCTCAAAGGAGGTGGCTTTACAGCCTCTCTGGGCAGCCTGTGCCAATCACTGTCTGACTGTCCTTACATCAATTCTACACTTGTTTTGTTTGTTGATAACTATATTCCTCTACTATATACTGTAAATGAATTATACAAAGAATAAAATACTTTGTTTTCTCCACAAGATTAGGTTCAGAGTGACAAAAATACAGAGAATTAGCTGCCCATTACCAGCACATGATATATTAGTGCCAGAACTAACACAGCTCTGGACTTGGACCCTCAGTGGTAGAAATTAGGACTTTTGTATTTCAGAACAGTTTCAAGACTGTATTTGAGTGAGATGGCAGAGCAGGCTGGTGCTCATCTCTAGTTCTTCTTCATTCTAAGTGTGTAAGTTTTCTAGAAGTATTTAACTTTGAACAGTCCCATTGAAAAGTAGAAAGTGACAGTTCCTATTTGCTTTTCTGATTGTTCCTTTTTTTCTTAATTGATTTGCAAGTTATGTTTCTTTATGAAGAGAATAAATGGATCCCTCCTGTAGGGAGACAAGGTTGCACTTTCCCTGGGAAATGGTTTGGGGGGCAGAAGTGTCCATCCACTGGTGTGGATGGTGGAGAGCAAGAGTCATAGCAAAAGGACCTAGGAATCTGTAGTGTACTCAGAACGTAAGAGGCTGCAAAGAAGCACAGGAAAGAAATAATCAGGCCTTGGTGGTAATGGAAAACAACTTCTTGGGATCAAAGCGTACTTGGCAATTCGGTTCAACTCAGAAATCCACTCAGTTTGTTGAAACCATACTTGAAAGGAAGGACAGGCAAAGGGAGAGGTGCTCGTATCTATTGTGTCTGATCCAGTTATTCCAAGTGTTCTCAGTCAAAAATTCCCTATTAAAAGTAATTAAATCTGTCTTTTTTAATTTAAGATCCTTTTGTCTTCTTTGGACAGATGTCTATAAGGAAAAGCTATAGACAGATGCATCTCAGTCCTTTGGCTGACTCTGGGTCATATCACAGAATATGTTAGTACAGAGCATTTCTTTTTTTCTAAAATTGGTTTGTTTAATTTGACTTGCTGACTCATTTTTCCAGCTGGTCTGTCATTCTACTCAATTCCAGATGAGGCAATAGGAAAAAGAAAACTCTTTTGAATGTTCCACCCTCTTGCCAAACCAAGTAACAATTAAAAACTCCAGTTTTCATTGCAATTCTTTATCTCTGTTAATTATCCAAGCAACAGTAAATCAGATATATTGTCCTCTGCTTGTTGTCAATAATTTAAATTCTAAATTCTTTATAGATTAGTTCCAGATTTAACATGCTGCTTCTTTTCCCTATATTACATACCATTTCACAACATGAATCTAATGCAGTGTTTCAGTTTTACATTTGAGATCAAATGCTACACAGTCCAGTCTATTTGACTCATGCGTTTTATACACACACAAGCAAACCCAAATGACTCTGTCTTAACTTATGTAAGTAGTTACTTTTAATCCAAAAGAGACATCATGTCACTCGACTATCTAACTAGTGACATTTAGTGGGGTTTTTCTTTTTTCACCATAATCTTTGAGAAGAATGCAATCTGAATCAAGTGTTTTATGGACACTAAACTGGTAGCAGTGGTGAGTCCAAAAAAGAACAGGAGTGTAATAAGCAGGGACTGTGTGAGTTGAGAGATACCAATAGGAAATAAAATTGAGATATTCAGCTTGGAAAAAAAAAGATGGTAATTGAACAGAAACAGAAAGATCTGTTAGAAGAGTTTGATGTTGAAGAGTTTGATGTTGAAGAGTTTGTTAGATGTTTTGTAAAAGAGGTCAAGAACAAATGGGGGATGGCAAATGTAACTTGAATTTACAATGTGATACAATATTAAAAAAATAAATGAGATCCAGACATATCAGGCGAAGTCATGTTCGCGCTATCAATACTGATACTTGCAAGGTAATAGAAGGAATTTTTCATCTGTCTCTATCCATATGAACTATGAGAACAAAATTTTACCATCACACGTGTACAGTCATTCCCATACCTGTCTGGGTAACTAGAACTGTAATTGGCTTGACTCACTACTGAGAAATAACATTCTGTGGGACAGTCATCAGTTTTATTGAAAAACTTCAAATTTTGTCTGTTTTTAAAAAAAAAAACCCAAACACCTGAATCAGCATTCAGTGCAGCAGAGTAGCTGCTTTAATTCTGCTTTTAACTGCAGAAACAAAGGGTTTGTATGGATAAAGCAAAACAAAATATATTAATTAAAATTGACATGTAGCACAAAGCTTTGTTCACCCTGCTTGCATATAAGGGTCAACATTAATAAACTTTCATCAATTGCTAGCTGCTGACTGATGATTTGGAGCTATTCCTAGAGCTCTTGATTAATACATATCTCTGATTATGTCACATAACTTTTGTTATCTGACAAATGAAAGTTTAGGTAGTAATCACACATGCTAAATAATGTGATGAAAATTTGTATAAACAATATTTTTAAAACTTAACAATGATCAGTAGTTTACAAGGAGTATCCACAATTTTATACTGTGAATATTATTTAAAGAAAACATTACCCTATTAGCCAATTATAGCCTGCATGTAAATTAATTGTATTAAGGTTTAATTTTAAACATAGTCATCAAGATCCATAGAAAGGAAATCATATTCTGATTTTATATTGTGATCTGTGGTTTGTAAAGTGAAGTGGTAAAGTAAATGGTCCATAAAGAAAGAGATGCCTGAAAAGGAAAGACTGGTCCTTCCTTCAGAGGGACATGATAACAGCAAACAACTTATTAAAAGTGTTGGGAAAATATTTTCCTCACCTTTTACAAAAAGGCTCAGCTTCTGAGGTAAGTATTCAGCCAGAAGCTGAAAAAAAATATTTGTAATTTTTCTACATGTCTTGTAGGATTTTTAATCTGTGTACAGCAATACTGAGTTTTGAGGGTTTTTTGGTTTTTTATATATTAAAGTCAATTTGCATGGAAAATAGTTTAAGCTGAAAACCCTGTTTTCTGTCCAAAACTTGTATAACATTTAGTGAATATTCTGAAGCCATTACTGCTCTCAGTTACTGAGATTGGAATTTACATTGACCAAACAGAATAGAATTGTGCTTATAAAACACATAGCTTTAATGAGTATCAGGAGCTTAAAGTGAAATATCAGAAGCTTAAGCATTCCATGGAACTCTGTTGAGCCAGTCTAGTGGTTTTACATTAAAAGGCTGAAAGTCTGAGCAAAATGAGAATTTGTTTCTGTAGTATCTGAAATTTCATATCTTTCCTGAAATTATTTTACATCTTAAAAAATCCTGTTTTGCATTCCTTTATATTCTACTGCCATACATAGTTTCATTTTAATTCATTGGTGAGCATCTAATATCGATATGAGATTATGTCAACTAATTTAACAAAACCTGAGGAGTTATAATTACCATCCTAGGGGGAAAAAAAAAATCGTTTATGGGCAGTAACCAATGTTAGATTTTTAAAGTATGAAAGGTGTATGAAAGAATATTCTTCTTGAGTTCTACCTCATGGACCAAAATAATTAATAGGAATTCATAAATATAATAATAACAGTGTATCTATTATGGTGATAAAAAATAGAAAATTCACTTTTCTTTTTCTGTTCAAATGTATGACAAATCCAACTATCATTAACTTGAGAGTCACAGTTAATTAATGACATATAGTTAAGTTATATGAATTGTTTTTTAACTTCTATAGGTACGTGTGTTCACATTTTCTGTTGGTCAACATAATTATGACAAAGGACCGATTCAGTGGATGGCCTGTGAAAATAAAGGTATTTTGTTTTTCTTTGAGACTATTCTTTGCTGGAGCTTTGAACAGGCAATAACTCTATTATTCTCTAAGAATTATACAATTTTTTTCAACCTGATTTTAGCTGTATTGTATTTTTCAATAAGGCTTCAAAAAAATTATTTGATTAAATGTGTATATGCATATATATATATATATATAAAAAGAAGCATGCATGTTTATTTCTGATTACTTTATTTAAAACTTTATATTGCAAGAAAAATATCACAGTATTTTAATATTGATATTATTATTATGATTGTTATTACTATTGTTATTATGTTGGTTCAGTTTTGAGAATTCTTCCTGTAATAGCCGTCTATGAAAAGATGGAACTGATGACAGATAAGAAATTAAGCAAAGCTGGTTTATATTAAGGGATCTAGACAAAGGGCGTTTTTGTTTGGTTAGTTGGCTGGTTGGATTTCTTTCCGTTTTTCTCCAAAACTTACAAGGGACCCGATGACTTACATTGTTTTTCCTTTTTTTGATGAAAACATCAAAATTATTCCTTCTGTGATTTCTTAGCTTCTAAGAGCTTATGTTATTTATTTTTATCCTGATTTCTTTATGTACGAAAAATAAAGTTAAAAAAATGTGAAAGGAAGGCAGTAAAGTGCTTTCTCATAAAATTTCTGCATGAAGAAGTGGTCAGAAACATTTAAAAAGACTGTGAAAAAGAGATGTCTCAAATACCCTACAGTATAATTATGGAACAAGAGATAACAGATCAATACAGATAAATAGAAAATAGAGAAAATATCAAACAATGTTGTTTAATATTTTAAATAGAGCAGGTTCCAGGTCTGACTGAAAATGTGGTTTTACAAATCAGTGAGAAGCAAGAGGTAATAGGTGGGATAGATTACAAAGGGTCTTGAAAATTAAGACTGCCAAGGAAGGAGGATAAGATACAGTTCTCAGGCATGGGAATAATATAAACCAAAGATAAGAGAAAGATATAGATACAGAAAAAAAGCAATGATATAGAGGAATACATAACCTGTATGAATAGCATACATGCCACCTCATGAATCCCTCAATATGCTGACAGATTATACAGAAGACACTACAGCTTCATGAGGAGCAGATTGTGCTGTCAGATAATTGCAGAAAATCAACGTTTGTTTTTTTAAACAGGGATTTTTTAACTAATGTCTTTGTATCTTAAAAGACTGTGTGCATGTGAACTCCACTGTTTCAAAATAAATGAGTACCAGCTGGTTTAAAGCATAACCACCTATGTCATTTTATTATCGAGGCAAAATGATCAGTTTCTTCTGTCCACAACTGATGCGATTATTTGTTTGCATATCCAAAAACCTATATTTTTATTTAATTTTTCCTTAATTAAAAGTTTTCATTTATTATCAAGTCACACATTGATTATGGCAAAGTAAATGGCTAACCTCAGTACTCTTAGGTCTCCAGTTCTCCCTGCTTCCTTCCAAATCGACTTACAGCCTACATGCTCTGAAACTGGATCTCAGTGCCTCTCCTCCCAGTCTTATTGTTGCGTATGGGAAATATTTTTCATTCAGAAAAATAGGTGATAAAATCAGTGATGAATAAAGACATTTCTGCTGTTTAGTTAGAGGAAATATCAGTTTGATTTTTTCGTCCTTCCCACAAAGTATATTTTACTGCTATGAACTTCACTATAGTGGCAGGCTGTAGCCACATGTGCATTCCTATATGCATTCAGCATATAATTACATTGCTGTAACAATGTAATTAAAATGACCAATGTGTATTTAAATGACCATAAAATATACTTGCATATCAGACTGACTGGGTATTCGCGAGTACAGATTTAGTACATTACCTCCGTTTTAAAAAAAAAAAAAAAAAAACAGACAAAAGAAACATATGCTCTCACTGCTTAAGAGTAACTAGTTTGGACTATATGACATGGTGACATGCCATAGGTGGCCACGCATTGTGATGGCATTTACTAAATATTATTTCATTTATACATGGTAATTTCTATAAAAATTAAATTAGAAATTACAGGCTAAATTAAGATGAAGAAACTAGTAATATATTACAGTAAGATGGTATTACTTCTTTTCCAAATTTTAGGTTATTATTATGAAATTCCGTCCATTGGAGCCATAAGAATTAACACCCAGGTAAGTTTTGGCTAAATGCAAATAGAGTTGTAAAATGAAGTAACAGAATAATTTCTATTCTTACATGTTGCATTTCATGTCTATTTGCATCAACTAAATTTTAAGATGTGCTGCATTAGGAACAGAGAAAAAAAATAGGTCATTCTTTTACATATGAGGGATTATTCTTATTTATTTAATTATTTATAATAGTTTCAGTGAGCCATTTCACAACGTGATCCCTGTTTCCCTGGCCAGCTGACCCACAGGAGCTTGCCGTGTGCACACAATGGAGCGTTTGAAGTGATTTGCATTCTGTAGACCTCTGCACAATCACTGTGTTATGGGCTCAGTTTTCCTCCTGGATTTACATGATCCCTCTTTGTTCCTGAGACACGGCACCATTTTTTTAATAAAGTTTTATAAACTCAGTAATTTTTTTTATAGCACACCTAGACATTCGCGGTCTGCCTCCTGCCATACTTACAGCATGATCCTAAGGGTGTGTATCACTGTGGGTCTGTGTGAAGGCATAGCCCTGCTAGAGTATCTGAACTCAGCTGGGCAGAAACAGTGATCTGGTACAATCCTGCATATAGGACAGATTCCTGGATTGCTTTGACCAGTCTGGGAGAGACATAGCTTTTTTTCTTCAAAAATAATGCAGGACAATTTTAGCAGACATCGCTGTAGATCACTAAGGGCACAGGACCCTGGAATTATATGGTGAGATCCAAACGGACAGTGTAGATGAACAGATACTATTTTCAGTTGTCTGAAAGCCCATGTATGCACATGTCCAGAAAAGCAGAGAAATATCATAGCAGTTCTTTGTCCTTCCAAGGTCAGGCATGACATTTTTTGGCAGAAAATTAGAGTCCTTTTTTTGGCTTGGATAAGAGTCCTTTGATTCTGTTAAACTCTTCCAGATAGTGTCTGGCAAGAAATATCCCTAATATGATCAGACAAATAGAAAAGGTTGAAGACGGAAACAAGTTTGATGGCATCCACTCCCGAACCAGACCAGAAGTCGGATATCTCATAAGATCAACAGCTTTAGCCATACTCCCGAACTGAATGAAGGCAGGGACTATGAGGTTTTATAACTGAATTTTTTGTTTCATTGGAAGTTATACAAGTTGTTGCTGTAGGAGCTTAACATACCCAGCTGTTACACCACTCACCCTCCTTCGCCCACTCGGTCTTCTGGGATGAAGGTTCTGTGATCTGCTTGTAATTTCCTTGTGTCATTAGCAATTAATTTTGTAACAAAAATAGTTGTAATTCTCACTTCGTGGAAGGAGAGTGGATGTGTAAGGTCTGTGTCACTGAGACTGTAGGAAGGGCCTTTGCAGTAAATGCTGCAAACTGAAGACTTAATTCTGAGTAGTATAATTTTAAAGAAGTAATTAAATACTACTCCTCTATTAGTAGTGAATTTTGACCTTTCTTTTCTGATCTTTTAATTATTTTTATTTCATTATTGTTTTATTTTTTATGCTGTTTCTGGACTTTGATCTAATAAGTGTCTTCTGATGAGTTTATTACACTTTTTGGCAGGAATATCTGGATGTTTTGGGAAGACCAATGGTTTTAGCTGGAGAGAAAGCCAAACAAGTCCAATGGACAAATGTCTATCTGGATGCTCTGGTATGATTTGTATTTATCTCTAGTAAAGCAAGAATCTTACCAAATCAGTAACTATAGGGTTCCATTTTCCACAGTACCGAGGACTCAATTTCCTACAGTTCCAAACATAATATTATATTTCCAGCATCTATACACTTTAATAGAGCAATTTTCTGAACAGCTATTTCTAACATTCTGGTCATTACTTGCACCTAGTATTCTCCTAAGTGTCCTGAACTTTAACAGAGAGAAGCAATTTATCCTGCACACAGATCTTTAAGTGTAAATCATTGTTGTCTTCAAATTAACAAAAGAAAAAAGAAACAGATAGTTTTCCAGCACTGTACCAGTGCTGCTTTTTTTTTTTTTTTTTTCCTCCAAAAATAAAAAGTATCCTAAACAAAATGAAACCTATGAGTGTTACTGGGTATTTGTACAGATTTTGAACTTGGATCTTTAAGCTATCATGGTTATTATAATTACTTGCTTGCTCAAGGTAATGATTTTTTTAATTGGACAGTGTCTATAATGAGGAAGTAAACAAAAAGATATATGAAATGCTTTTCTTACTGCTGAATTTATCACTTTGGTCTTGTAAAACAAACATATTCAGGAAACTACGAAATGCAAAGTATTATTAGCAACAATCCAATCTGTTGCTCTAGATAACCTTTTTCTGAGTAACTCTTAACTAGGCAAAAATTACTGCGAAATGGTCATCTGGAATCATGTATTTATCCAAGTTCACATGGTCATCTAATGTCATGTCAAAATCCACTTCTTCCTGTCAGTCAGCATTACTGTAAAATTTTTATCAACACATCATGGAACTGAGCGTGACACAGAGGAACTAGTTTTTCTTTGGAATTTCAATGGCCAGAAGTTCATTAACCATGTTTTCTTGGTTACTGTTGAGGTACTTACTGGAAACATAAAGGATGTTATGACGAAAGCTCATATGTTCTGTACATATCCTGTTGTAAAGTCAAAGCTAAATTTGTAACTGGGGATAGGAAGAGACCAGTTTAATGAAGTAAAACAAGCGATACCTGAAGACTTATGTTCGATTACTTTATATTTTCAGTGGGTTTATTCAGTCTTTCCTTCAAGCTTTTCTCTATTTACGTGTTATATATGTGTGTTTGTGATATTAATTTTATATATATTTGTGTGTGTGCATACATATATATTTATAAAAAGTAGGACAACCCAAGGTAAACTGTTGAGTTAAAGGCCAAAATCTGTGGCCTGTCTCATCACAGATGAGAACAAAAAGACACAGGTGTATCTAATCCACTCTGGATCCTTTTCCTGATTCTTGGTTTTAGCAGGAACTGGGGCTAAGTTGTCACAGTGATTGTCTATTTTGAATTCCCTAAAGCAGTTCCCTCCTGCAGGGTCTACCCTTCTGCTGTGCCTCAATGGACTTTTTCCTATCCTTTTTCACTTACTGTCCAGCAGCTGTTATGGGGCTAAGATTACAATAATGTGAAGTGTATTGCATGAGGCCGTATGTGATTTGAGCTTAAATTCAGGTTATGACATCCTAAAGGGGTACTTTTATTTGAGGATGTCTTTCAAGAATGTCTTTAAGGATTTGATGTAATTGGCAATTCACACTTCTTTTCTTGACCTATTCCTCCAGGTTCTGTTACACTGTTGCTCTGGCCTCACTTTCTGCAAGATTATCCCAGAATTTTCAGATACTTTTAGGTTTACCAGTTAGTCATAATTTATTAACAATTATTGTCCTCTCTAGCTGTACATTTTTTTTGGATGTACAATTGTTATCCCCCATACACAACCCTCCTGTTTCTTTATGTATCTCTTCAATGCTCCTTCTAAAAATATCCTCCTTTCTTTTTTCTTCTAATTCATCTCCATTCCTTGCTTCTCCCATTCTCCTAAAATGTCCACTTCTCTTCACCTTGCTTATAGTGGTGCTAACTCTGATCTCTTCACCTTTCCTTTAATGCAAACTTAAGTTCATGAAAGATGATTTAAAAGTCAAAAAGCTACTACTGGACTAGGCAAATGAAGAACAAATTTAATCAGAGTGGATTAATAAAGTATTTTAGCTTATTTTTCCTAACGAAATAAAGGGTACAAAGTTATATTGTTCCTCAATAGAATACATGTAAGGAGTAAGAATCAGTGAGAAGAAAAAAATTTGAAATAGAACCCAAACACTAGCATAAAAGAAGGTAGAAATCTCCATTTTTTTTTTCCCCCTCCCCTCCAATGGAGATTTTAGTGTAGTGGGTACTGTAGCTGTAAACATGTTTTCATAACATTTAGAGGGTTTTAAACCATTATATCCTAAGTGTTGCACACCATCAGTTTTTAAAAAGTAATTTATTTTTCTAAGACATGGACACCATAAAATCTAATTCTAACTTTCTATGCATAAAATCAATGAAGTATTATTATTTTTTTATTTTTTTACAAAGTAGAAGTCAGTACTCTAACCTAGTGTTTGGCTACAGTAATCCCTGAATTGTTCTAATATATTATAGTTCAATATTTGTTATGTAACTAAAAGGTCTTTTTCTCCCCTCTGTATGTCATTATTTCTTAGGAGCTGGGCCTTGTGATTACAGGAACTCTACCTGTCTTCAACTTAACAAAGGAACAAAATGGGAATTTAAAAAAAAAAAAAAAAGTTATTTGAATTAAATTGAATGCTGAACTCCTTGAAAAATGTGTATTTCCATAGAGCTTTATACAGTTTAATTGTCTTGTACATCAGAAACAAATGGGTCATCTCCAGCTAGCTGATGACCTTTTGGGAACAAGAAAATGCAGATCACCCTTTTTATAGTTCTGAGTTTCAGGGTATGGCATTCCTTGCTCTATCTCTGTGACCTGGTGGCAGTGGGAATACATTAGTGCTCAAGAGATGGGAAATAGATGATGATATGATTTAGGCCTTGACAAGAAAAAATGCCCAGATAAATGTGTAACAAATCTGTGAAGCTATGACATTTCAGGGTAAAAGGCAATGATGTACAGAATTTAACTAAATTGGTTGTTAAGAGAATAGAAAATACCACTGTGTATCTAGATTAAAATCTAAAAAATAAATACAATTGCCCATACCTATTACTGTCTGATATGGAATCAATTTATGTCTTCTTCACCAAATCAAAATGCTGCTTTTTTAAAATCAGATCCAGGATATGCTTTACTGTGTGTAGTAAAATATTGCACATTTGATGTGAAACTCCTGTTCATTCAGGTCAAAATAAACAGAAGTTTACGCAAAACAATACTTGATTCAGTTTCTCAGATATTACCTAGTCTCAGAATGAATAAATACAAATTTGATCACTACCATTTCTTTTATTTACTTTCCGAATAGTTCTCTTACTTTCCCTTTAAAAAACAAAACAAAATAAAAAGGTTTCATAATCTTATCTACAAGATAATGCCTGGAATTCACTGAGTCTGTCTGTGAAGTGAAAGACTACTGATTATCGAAGGGTGTCTTTCTGAGAAGTAAACCAGCCATTGTCTAATACAGAGGAACAAGAGGAGAACTTGAATCTCCTTGACTCATGCAACATGAATTTTAGGTTACAGACTGTATGATGCATTTTCCAATACATATTCCACATTTATTTATTATGGAGAAGGGATTCAGGTGACACTGTGTAAATGATTGCCCCACCTTTCTGTAGGAGGAATATAAATCACAAGTGTAGTGAATGTAGTGCCTGAGTCCCTGATTTCAGATGCTGATGATTGTTATAGTTACTGGTTTTTTTGTTGTTGTTGTTGTTGTGGGTTTTTTTCATTCATCATTATGCCATAGCCAAAAGGGATTAATTTGGGGGGGGGTCTCACTCCCCAACAAAGCATTCAATAATAGCTCTTTATTGGTGCTAGTAATTTAGTATCTACATCACTGGCAATATTAATGCATCACTTTTCCTTTTACCTATTTTGTTCTTACATTTATTATTCGTCCAGGAAAGCATCCATATTCATCTTCATAAACCATTTTACTATTCAATACTAAATTCTGAATATACTGAATGTTATTTTGAATCACTTGGTCATTATTTAAAATATTTACAATAGACATACGTAAATAGGCGACTTTTCAAGTAGTTTTTGTCAAACAGGAGACAAAGGCAAAATCAAAATTCACTGACTTGTAGTTATTCTGCATTGTAAATATGTCAAACATATGCTAACATTTTGGAATCTTACCAGAATCAGCTGATTCTTGGAGTAATGGGAGTTGATGTCTCTTTGGAGGACATAAAAAAGCTGACACCCCGATTTACGGTAAGTTGCTTGCGTTGGTGGTTTCTCTTTATGTATGATTTATGTATGATTTCTGTGCATGCTCTTTGATAAATCATAGAGCAATGACTGGATGTGAGTCAAAATACCAGCAGGCTTCCTTTCATATATTCTTTTCCATTGTTTTCCACTGATTTTTTTCATGGTTTTCTCTCCAGCCATATATGTGTTTCTCTGTGATTTGTCCATCAGGATGCATCTGTAAAAGCCAACTTTTACATGGGGGAATAGGTTCCAAGTAATTATTTTCCTGTAGCTTAAAGCACTGTTCTTTAGTTGAGTGTTTGGTTCTTACCGCAGTGTAGAGTACACAATCATTTCAGCTAATATATAGGACAGTTCTTTATAGAGGAGTACTTTAATATTCATGTCTGTCTGTACGCTACACAGTATGATTGATTTATATATTTAGACATCTAGACGGGGACCTTCTAAGAAAATAATTAGTACTGTGGAAAGCAACAGCTGAGGAAGCAAAGTAACATCACGAATTTGACTGAAGGCAAATGTAGAGTCCAGTATCTGGACAGGAATAATCCCATGCCATAGTACAGGCTGGGACAGACTGCCTCAAAAGGCAGGAAAGGTCTGGGGCTCATAGTGGAGGACAAGCTGAACATAAGTTAGCAGATGTGCCTTTGTACAAAGAAGGCCAACTGTGCAGTGAATATGTGTGTCAGGAGTACTGTGTCCAGGTTTGATCTCCTCAATATAAAAAATACAGTGAGGTGCTGGGCAGAGTCCAGTGCAGACCAGGGGGCTGGAGTACATGGAGAAGATGAGAGAGATGGACTTATTTAGGGTGAAGAAGGAATCTAATGGGCTACCTAATGGGAGTTATAGTGAAGATGTACTTTGAAATTTTGTTAAGGTTATAGCAAAAGTCAAGAGGCAATTGGCAAATGGAAATTCCAACTGGAAATAAGGAAAAAAAAAAATCATTGTGAGGGTGGTTAAACACTGAAGCATGTTGCCCAGAGAGGTTGTGGAATTGCCATTAGAGATATTCAGAGACCCTTTGAAACCTAGTCCAAAGTTGTATCTTATTTTGAAGTTAGCTCAGCTTTCAGTGAAGGGTTGTACTTTCAGAGGAACCATCAGCCTAAATTATTCTCCAAGTTTATGATTCTGAAAGAGTAAATATTAAGAAATTGTCTTCTCTATGTTAATACCTCACATATTTCATGATGCCTGAGGCAATGTATTATTTCTTGAAAATTATTAATTAATCTTGCTTTATTACTTCAAAAGCCTATAATTCTAAGCCTCATTTCTTTCCTTCAGCTTTGTCCAAACGGATACTATTTTGCGATTGATCCTAATGGGTATGTGCTACTTCATCCAAATCTCCAACCGAAGGTATGAAGAACTTACTAATTTATTTCTCTATAATAAGGGGACATTGTCAGAAATAACAGAAAATAAAATCTGCTGAAAGTGCTAGAGAGAAATAGTAAAGAAGTCTCAACTGGGGGGTAAAGGAAGATCCATGGTGCAATATCACTTCATCCAAATCCGGTTTAGTCAGCACATAGGGCAGAATGGGCTTGTATCAATTCAGGTTTTGATAAAATAAAAAGGATGTATATTTTGCATGCACATTTTTATATGTGAAATAAGTGTTTTAATATACATATTAATACAAAAATAACCAGTAGTAACTGTAATAGTGGTAGTTGTAATATCATTGTGAAGAACTTGTAGTGTGTTACAAGATGATCTTGAAGCAAACTGAGGAGTTCACTAGTGTACATGCTTATTTTGTGATGCTTTCTCATTTCAGAAATTGAAACTTTCATACTTGCAAAACCACAGAAATTAGGGGCAAACAGAATGTATTTTACTTGTATTCTTGTATTTGTTTATTTGCTTATTTTCTGTTTACCAGAGCTGAAACCTGAGCTGCAGAGTTGGGATGGATCTAGCAAGCACTCCTTCCCAGAATGCTAGACTTTTTAGTAGTTCAACTTAATTAAATCTTTATCTAAATAAGGTTAGGACACTACTTTTCTCAAATTTCAAGAAAATTAAACCCAACATTTCAATCTTGCTTTATATCCATTAACTGTAGTCCTGACCCTGTGGGGACTCCTACATTACATTTATCTTCTTAAACAACTTGTGTCCCTGGCTTTGAGGAGATATTTCATATGAATGCATGATTTTTCTTCCAAAATCTGAACTTTAATCTTTGATTTAGTGAAGGGTTTCTCCATATCAAACAATCTTCTGTTTAGTGGAATATTTGAGAAATGCTTGTATTTTTATTCCAGTAGAAACATACAGCATTTCAGCAAATTTTGTCTCTTTAGTTCATCATGCAGAAATGCAGCATTATATAAAAGACAAAGTTAAAATTTAATTAACTAAAAATAATTTTTAAAAATCACTCCAGATTGAGAGAAATATCTGGATTATTTACAGAAAAAAGTTAGAAATAATAATGAATCACTGCAAGTATTGAAGACCAAATAATATATCCAAATAGTTCAGCTGTCAATATTAAAATTTTTGGTTTAGAATTTTTGAGCAATATGTGGCCAAGGTAAATGCAAGCTGTCAATACACAGGCAAATAAGGCTAGTAAGGCTTTTAAACTTTAGCAGCACCCTACTCCTCAGTTATTTTTTAGCACTTAGTGCACTTTAGAGAAACTTCTTAAGTAATGTAAGTGTATTTGCTGCCTTTAGGCATGGAAATACTGTTTTTTTGTAAATTGGATGCATATCCATCACTTTATTCCTCACAGCCATGTTCCTTTGGCAGAATAGCAGCTAGTCCTTGACCTCTTGGCTGTGTGACTGTCCTCTCTTGTTTCTTCACCAGAAAATCCTCTCATAGATACAAGAGGTGAAGCAGGCTTTTTATCACTACTTCACCAACTTTATCTGTCAAAGGCAGAAAAAAGGAATGAAGAATTCATCTTTAATGATTCATTTAATTCTTAAGCTGGGGGAAGTTAGTATTGTGAATATTTGAATTAATTGCCTGGTGAAGTAATAAATATGTTCAAAATCTTTTGCCAAGTGTGTAACAAAAAAAAAAAAAAAACCAAAAAAAACAACACCAACAAAAAATGCTTCAGAAAAAAAGAAAAAATAATATTTGATCTTAAATATTGATAAAATAACCATTTTGATTTCTTTTGAAAGGACTCTTAAAAGTAAAAGTAAAAAAGGAAAGAAAGGGGTTTATTAGTCTTCATAATTTAGGACTTCAGTTTCTGTATATATGCATTAGGTTTACATGTGTTAAATATGAGGTTTTATTTGATTATTTTTCTTGATGAATTACTGTGAGACAAATATGTGCACCATTACTGACCGAATCTTTTCCTTCATTAGAGATTATTAGAATGTCAAATGATGACGAGTGTTCTATTTACTTTTTCTTTATATGCACATAAATTTATCTTTCTGTTAACAGAATGAATATAAAATGAAGCCACATAGTATTCTCATTTTAGTCACAATCTTGTGAGAAACTGTTGGATATGGATTCTGTTTGTCTCATTACTATACTGCAGTGTAAACTTGTAACACTGAAGAATAAAGAAGCTTTGTTACTGAAAAACTCAGCTCATCCCTACTAAACCTAAGCAGGCGGAGATGGGTTATTAGGATACTAATTGTCATGGTTTCTCCGTGTAGTTTTCTACTTAAAAAGATACAAAGTCCAGAGATGCTTTCACATACTGTTCAGATGTTTTTAGAGTATGTTTAAAAAGGCATAGTTTATAAATTATATGTTTTATGTTGTGGAATAATGTCTAAATGTAATTTTAAGCATATGCATTATTATTATTGTTATTGTTGTTATTAACAGTTACACAGACTAGACTTTTTCACTCCCAGTTTGTTTGGGGTGGTGCATGCTATTCAGACTGATACAAGAACTACGTTTTAAAACTAAGGTACACTACAAAGACAGATGTATTTAGAACTCATGGACTTTCTTTAACATGTTATATTAATTTTAGTAGAACCTCCTGGTAGCCGTTAACTTATTAACAAACAACATCTTAACCCTCTTTGCTAGCAATTTTTCAATAGATGTAAACTAAAACATAACTACGTCTTTACCTTCGAAGAGGTGAGGGTGTATTAAACTTCCAATGGTCCCTTCTTCTGAATGTCTTCTGCTTTCCTTCTGAAAACCTGTTACCTCAAATCACAACTGGTTCAACACAAAATTTTGAGAAACTGTCTTGCAGTATCATCTCACAAAAAGAAGCCCCTAGAAGTTTAAAACTAGTAAAGTTATTTGCGCAATTGAGAAAATTTAACCAAAAGCGGGTTCAAAAGCATATTAAAATCATTAAGAATTTTCCCATCGTGTACTTACCTGCACATGAAAACTACATCAAAGCATAACACAAGAAACCTTTTTTTTAACTTTCAGTTTAACATCATTTTAAATTGCTTAAAATACAAATTTTTGAGTTTGTGTAGTTAGTTATATTACATTTTTAGACAAGTGCTTAATTTTATGTTTTACTGCCAGTTTTCTTTGTCTGTCTCTGTGTATGTGAGTGTATTTTTCCCATTGTCCTGGGAAAGAAAAGGTGGATACTCCACAAAATATAGTCATTGAAGTGAGTGCATTAAGCATGTGTTAACAAGATTAGTTGTAATTAAGATTTCAAAACATCAAATAATTCAATTTCAGAATCTGTTCTAAAGATCTTTTTGTTCATTTTCATTATGGTTCTGATCAAAATCTGTTTAACGGTAGTTCTAAAACTCCAGATGCCTTCACTAGGATCCAGTATTTTGTATTATGGTTTGTGGTCTTGCAAGAAATGTAAGAGGAGGTGTTTTTAAGAGCAGATATAATAGTAAACAAAAAGTGAAACTCTTCTATATTTTAATTGTCAGAGTATGTGGGAGGGAGACCTCTTTGTTAACTTATTCACATCATCTAACATATGTCTGGGGTTTGTTTCCCTGGACAAAACCCATGTGTAATTCTGACAGAGACCTCAGAACTCTTGACTGGAATCAGGGCTAGTCTCTGCTTCCAGTAAACATGCACTGGAGAATATAGATGTTGAGGGATGACCTCCATTTTATAAGTAGGCTGTTTACTAATAGTGTAAGAATATAAATTACTGCTTTTTTGTTACTTCAGCAAATTGGCGTGGGCATACCAAAAGTTAAATTGAGAAAAAGGAGACCCAATGTACAGGTAACTTTGTATGGAGGTGATTAGTGCATAGTGCATTAGAATGCATAGTCCTGGAAATAAAATTAGAAAGCTTCTGCCCTGCTTACTAGGAAAATCTAACTAGAGAACTGTTTACTTTGACAAAGAGCTTCCAAAGCATGAAGCTTGCATCCTTCCTTGTTTAAATAATAGAAAACATGTTATTTGCTGCAGTGAAGGGTGTTCCATTAAATTATGGTGCTTTACTAATAGGTGCTAATTAGAGCCATGCTGTAAAAATTATTCTTTGGATTTTGAAATTAATTTGAAGACTGGGAGGAAAAAAAAAAAAAAGACTACTTGTGATGGCTTTGCTTGCATAAACCCAGAGTCAAGAAGATCATTCTTATTACCTTATTGCCAAGTTTTATTATACAGTGTATGCTGTATAACATTACAGAAGTTGAATGAGCTGTTCAATTTTTTTTTTTCTGGGGAAGTCAGATTAGGGCATATGTTTTATCTACTATTTACATCAGGTTTCTTGGTTTAACAGACCCAGCTCCAGAGAATTAACTGCCATTAACCTGGACAGGGAAAAGGAAATTAGTAACATTTATGTAATGCAGTCCTTCAGCAAAACACACTTAATGAAAAAGTAAAAATCTTTACAGGAATAGATTAACTATGTAACTAGCAAATATAACAAAATTAGGTACAGTATACCATGTTAATTTCTTACACATATGGGAATATGTGATACAAAACTGGTAGCTTGCATAACACTACCAGTAATGCCTGGTGTAAAATCCTGATCTAATTCAAGTCAGTGATTTCACCGAGTGTCAAGTGGTGGCGTTTATACCACATGTGGGAGACCACATCTGGGCTAGATTTTTTGTGCACTGGAGAAAGCAGCACTGGAACATAAAAAACCTCAATTTTGTGAGCACCTCTGGCTCCTCAGCATGCTATGGTATGATTTTGCTGTTGCTGGGTTTGCCTGAAGGTGCTGTCTGCCCAGGGAGATGCAGCTCTGGAAGAGCTCTGGGCTTCCATCCACTCCAGATGCTCCTGGGTCTCCCTCTGGGGCCCAGGATTTTTGCTGCCTTCTCACCATCATTTATTTTAAAAGCCTGTGTCTTCATTAGTACTGCAGGTATGAGTAGGAACTAGGCTCATGCAACTCAGCAAAGAAGGCCTTCCATAGAATTTGTGAGAATACTGACCACCCAAATCACACGATGACATTTTAATGTTTGGGGTTTTTTTTTATGTTGCTGCACCAGTTCTTTCTTTCTTTGTTTCCTTCTTAATTTTTCATTGAAATAATCGATCTTTGCCTTTATTTGTCATGCTGAAAATGGACTGTGCTCCCTTTATTTGCATGCTTCGTTGCTAGTGATTTACTTTTGTTTTATTAAGTTATGCTGGTGAATGTGGTGGTGTTGCACTTTTTCTAGTCATGTCATGTGCATGACTGGATAAAGAGAAGAGCAAACTGACCAGTAAGTTTGTTTCTTCATGGCTTGGAATAAATCCGACTAAATGGCAACCTTGGAAGAAAAAATTATGGAGCCCAAATACTGGTAAAAACACATTATTGGGGGCAAAAGACATAGCGGGGAAAATAGACTTCCATTTAAAGTACAGGTCCAGGAATTTTCTATTCCAATTTCTAATGGATTTCTTTGTGTCTTAGGCACATCACATAATATACACACTTAGTTTCTTCATCTATTAAAAGTCACTAAGAAGGACCTTAGAAAGAATGTGTGGTGATATAATGTAGGTCTTAAAAAGAACAAGAACAAACAGTTAATGTATACTTTAATTTTGACAGACTGTTAAAGTTGACTATTTTGTCTTTGGGACTCCTTAACTATGGTTAGCCCAGGTTATCATTTGAAATGAATATTGACCTTGATTTGATGTGATACCTTTTGGTTTTTTTTCTTTTTTTTTACCATTTCTTTTTTTTCTCTGTTCCTTTGTGTGTTGGAATGGAATGTGATCTTCACAAATGCCTCCTCTGCCATGCCAATGCCTTCATGCATGCTGTTTGGGTTTGACCATGCTATTCATTATCCATTGCATGTAAGAAAATGTGTTTTTTTAAATTTATTTTTACATTTTAGACTTCTGCTATTTATTTCAAGAGCATGGATTTGTTGGGGGGAAAATGTAACTGCATAGCAATAATTAAATTGCTTTGAATTAGTAGAGAACATATGTTAATGTTATTATATTAAAGTTGCTAGTTTTATCTATCTTGTTAAATAGGAACACAAACATTTATTTAAAGTTATCAGCAGACATTGAAAAAATACCTGGAATCTTTGTCTTTAATCTTTCCAGTGCATGTTCTTTTTCTGAGAATAATTTTATCAGCTTTTCTCTTATCAGACAGTAAGACTTACTTGCTAAGAACAGGAATGATGCTGTATACCCAAAACATGCACATTTTTTCCTCAAGATTACAGAAGAATAATCTTTTGACTTCTAACACTATCATATGTTAGTCTTGAAAATAAGGACTACTGTCAAGCTCTTAATGCTCCAGATTATTATATGAAGGTATTTTTTACCAGCTGTTCCAATCTTCCAGTATGAACTGGAAATATATTCATAAATTATGATGACATGTACTTGCATTGTTTGATAGAATAGTCACATGGACATTTGTTAAGTAACTTTACCAGAGAATATTACGTTAGAAGGAACATTATAATCATTTTGAAAGAAGGGACTTTAGGCTACAATAAAATAGTTAGTATAGCTGAATCACTGAAATCTCCTAAATATGTCACGATCAGAAATAACACTAGTCTTGAAATAATAGTAGCAACTAATGACAATTTTTGTGTTGCTAATCATGTGAGAGACAGTGCTCAGTTACTGAAAAAAGTAGGCCTTGAGATCCTTTCATACATGAACTAACCTATTACTCAAAGCAAATTATTACCAATAAAAAAATATTATTAAAACTGGACTTTTTAAATATTATATTCTAAATTATTAGATTTAAATGGGTAAATAATATACCCCCATACTCTATTTTGTAAAGTTCCTACATTAGGCAGGGTGCATTAAATAACTACTGGGTGATGAAAATTGAGAATTTTTATACCAATATAAAGTCAATGGGGCTTAACTAAAATTACTCAGAAAAACCAAAAGTCAGATTCCTAACAACCCGTACAGAAGATGGCTCTGTCCAAGTAAATGCAGACTGCAACTGAGAAAGGAGCAGAGGCTGGAGGTTGGCCTGAGCTAGTTCAGCAGAGCTACAATGGTCTTCCCACATTCCTGAGACCAAGGTTACTGCAGGTCGACATCATATACATTCCTTAGATCTTGAAGCTGCTGGGTCACAGTATTGATGTGCTACAGGTTTCCATCTCTTCAACTGAGATAACGGTACTGATGTCAAAATAAATGCATTCAAACCTGCAGTGTGTTTAAGGAAGTCCTGTAATGCTGACAATAAAAGTGATTTTTGGTTTTTATAACAAATATATCACTCACTATGATTGCTGCCTCTTTAAATCTTGAACTGTAGCCCATTCCCACCTCGTAATGGTGAGTTTATAGTCTGCTTATGGCAGAATTGCAGAAGAGTACAGTTGCCCCATCTTACTGCCCAGCTGGAAAACTCTCCCAAATGTCTGTCTCCCTTCTTGAAGGCAGGAAACCTACTGAGAGATTCATATCTGATGTTTCCTCTAATGTGTCTTCTCCCACCCTTACAGTCTGTGACATATCAGCAGTAGGGGATGCAGCTTCCCAGCATGAGCCCCATACATGACAGACTGTGGATGACACTGACCATTAATGTTAATTTGAATTTCATTTGCCCAGTTAAGCTCTCTATCCAATGAAATAAAATGAATGAGAAAGGGCCACTAGTAATTCATTGTGCTGTTAGAGATTAAACTAGATCGGTAAGTAAATCAAGTTAAGTAGCTTACTTTGAAATGAAGGGATTAGAATGATTTGTAACATTATGATACTGTGTCTTTATTATTTGATCTTTCAATATCTTCTGCTTCAGAATCCTAAATCCCAGGAGCCTGTTACACTGGATTTTCTAGACGCTGAACTGGAAAATGATATTAAAGTTGAGGTGAGATTTCCTGGTTTCTTAGTACCTGTTGCTGCTTGTATTCCACTGTATAATAACTGAAACACAATAAATGTTTTAGATTTTGAATAGGAATTTATTTCATTATAAATTTCAATTTTACATTTGTCAAGGTTATGAATTTATGGAGAGATGAAGTTGTGATGGAACAAAATGAGACCCGGTATTATCCGTAGGCAAGGGCAATGCATTATATTCCTCTCATTTTAAAGACTAAGTGGTAATTCCTGGGGAGGACGCTTGCAAAATTTTTCAGAACAGAACACTTATTAATAAGATATTAATATATTAACTGAAATATTTTTAAAGTATTTCACTCTCTTTCTTAGACAAGTTTATTGCTGTGGTGAGAGAGAAAACTGAAAAATAAAATTGTGTTGACAACAAATTAATTCCTCCGAATATTTTTCAGTTACTAATTTTGTAATACATTGAGAAATCAGAATTTTTAAAAATAATTTGTTAGTTTTGTGAAATAAAATGGAGCGGGGCTAAACATTTTGCATTTTTTAACATTTATTTCACTTTGACAGTGTTCTTTCGTAATTACACTACTCAGCATTTCTTAGTATCTGTTAAATTCTGACTTGTTTCTTTGAAATACCTGCTTCAGAGAGGAATTACTCTTGGATGGGTATAAAAATGTTTTTGTAAATCACTGGTGCTACCAGAATCACACAGATGTGCTGGGAAGCATGAGAAATGCTAGACAAAACTTCTAATCCACACAGAATTCATAGTCTCTCTAGTGCCCAACATCAAGGAGTTTTATAGGATGATCTTGCTATGCAAAGTATATCAGAATTGTTGCTTCAGAACTCTACAGATTCACTATTTATTTGTTTAAAGCAACCTCTAATTAGAAAAACGTGACTTAACTTTTTTTTTTGAGAGCTACAACTTACAAATTTCCATTTTCTGTGTTTCTGTGAAGTATTTTTAATCACTGAAAAGATTATTCCTCTTACATGCAGCACCTAGTTATTTATTTTTTTCCTGTTTTCTTCTTTGCCAATAGATTCGGAAAAAAATGATAGATGGTGAAAGTGGAGAAAAAACATTTGAAACACTGGTCAAGTCCCAAGATGAGGTAAGATAGGAACACAAGTAGTTACATATACAGGAACAAACAAAACCAGAAAAATACTGTGAAAGGATAAAGAGACGTTAATTTTATAACGTCAGTTCGTATCATTTTTCCCTCTAGATTTGCTAGTGAAGCTAGACTGGGTTATAGTAAAAGAAATTATGTTCTTATGAAAAGAAGAATTGTTTCCTTTCTTGATTTCTTTGGTACATCATTAATCAGGCAGTTGTTGATGAGGTCTTACACTCTGTTCACCAGGAAACGGACCCAGCCTACTTCTGTGTATAAATCCCAAAATAAAGTACCTAATTTGCTTGTGGAGATCTATGAGAATGGGTTTGGTTTTAAATGGGTTTATATTGTGACTGAATAGGAAGAAAATAGTGAGAAAAAATATAACATTTATATGCCATAAACAGACTATTTGGTTTAAGCAAATTCATCTTATATTATGCACTTGTGCTTTCTGAACAGTTTGTTGAGTTCTTTATTTTCCTGTCCAATGTGCTCATTCCCAATAAAGATTGCTACTGGTTTCTCTAATAAGACAGACATGTCTCCTAGCAATAGGAAATACTCAAATTTGATCCTTACATGTATGCTCTACTTTTTGGGAACCTTAATGAGAAGAAATCATGACTGGCGTACCAAAGGAGCCGGTCTGCCTGGAGTATGCCTCACAGTTACAGTTCTATAAAAGCTTTTCAAACTTTTACTCTGAATGTAAACCAGCTTGAATATATCTAGTTTAATGACTTAGCAGAAAAATGTGAAGCAAAAATAACATCAAGCAGACACTACGTAACCCTTACGTATGTAAGCACACCATAACAATAATATGTTGTTATATATTATATAATAATATATTATTTATGTATTTATTATAATTTATAATATTTATATATTTATTATAATTGCTTGGGACTGTGAAGTTAATTTTTTGTGTGTAGTATTAGCTGACATCTCCTGTTGATCTCCTGTAACTGATATCTCCAGTGGTTCTGCTGGTTGTCCTGAAATGGCAGAATGTTCTGGTGAAAGGTTCTTCCTCCTACAAGGCATATGCTACAGAATCTAATCAAGTTAAACTGATAGGCAATCAGGTCTCAGACTTTAGGGGTTTTTTTATTCTGTTTAAACCAGCACATTCCTTGCTTATATTCCATTCAGCATCTAGTAGATGGTAGTAACTTTTGTTTTAAATTTTGTCCAGATTACACCACGTGATGCCCAGTACTGAGCAGTTCCTATTACCAGTCCTCTGACTCAACTCTGCATTGAGGAAAGATTCTTATATACTTCTCATTTTGATACAGAAAATAATATTTCATAGTCCTAGTCTATTTTTGCATTAAACATGATAGAAACTCACTTGTCTTCATGGGTGAAAATCAGTGTCAATGCACATGTTTTCTTTGCTAGAGGAGGCTGAAAAGGGTGTTGAATTTTCTGAAACATGTTTTGATCATTCATCCATTCTGTGATTTCACAATGTCAAGTTCATGGTCACTTGGTTCTCCAACAGACCTTTGCAGTCATACTTAGAATCATAGAATCATAGAATGTTTTGTGTTGGAAGGGACCTTTAAAAGTCATCTAGTCCAACGCCCCCTGCAATGAGCAGGGGCATCTTCAACTAGATCAGGTTGCTCAGAGCGCCATCCAACCTGACCTTGAATGTTTCCAGGGATGGGCATCTTCTGCCTCTCTGGGCAACCTGTTCAGTGTTTTACCACCCTCATTGTAAAAAAAATTTCTTCCTTACATCTAGTCTGAATCTACCCTCTTTTAGTTTAAAACCATTGCCCCTTGCACTATGACAGCAGGCCCTAGTGAGAAGTCTGTCCCCATCTTTCTTATAAGCCCCCTTTAAGTATTGAAATTGCAATAAAGTCTTCCTGGAGTCTTCTCCTCTTCAGGCTGAACAACCTGAACTCTCTCAGACTATCCTAATAGGAGAGGTGTCCACCCTCTGATCATTTCAGTGGCTCTTCTCTGGACCCACTCCAACACGTCCATATCTTTCCTGTGCTGAGGGTTCCAGAGCTCAACATTTCATGACCATTCCTCAGCCTGTTAGTATCTACACTGGATTTAATAAAGCATACTGCTTTTGATAGTGTAATTTAAAAGGAGTGCAAATAAAGAGAGAAAACCATGCTCAGAATCTTCAATAACTGTGCAAATCCATCAGAGGCATTTTTATTCCTGAGGTGTGGGTGTCATTTTGGAGATCAGTGGCTTTACATGCATGTGTGTCACCTATATGGAGACAGATTAAAATCTGTATATTCATTCACCTCCCCGCTAACAAGATTGTGACTTTGTTGCAGAAAGGTTGTCATGGTATTTTATTATACTGCAGAGTCTAGGGAATTTGTCTCAGCGTTGGGTGCTGTCTTCCTTCTGATACCATATTCAGAAAGTGCAGAACCTCATAGACTCTCTTTTTGAGTACAGAACCTCAGCTTCAGTGGGGACAGACAAATGTAAGTGTAGATGATGTTAGCTGAAACATGATGATAATGATGATCTTGTAATCATGAAAGCAGCAGAGTCACACTCTCCTGCATTAGTTTCTATGAGAGAAGTCAGTTTAACTCAAGCCTTACACACTTACATTGTTCAGGTGCAAAGTGTGCCCATAAGTTTGAAGTTGTGTTGGCATCCTTGTTGGGGATCCTGAAGGGAAGGACTCACCGGGACATTTTCAGATCTGTGTTGTTGTTTTGTTTAAGGAGTGCCTTTCCAAGGCTGAGTGAAATGGTCTCTGTGCAGGTGCTTAGAAAAGGGAGGATTAGAAGGTCACAAAAACCCAATAACACTAGTGGTGTTATACAAGAAATTACATTCATGGCAAAATTGTTGAAAATATCTCAGGCTGTGCTTGCACTTCTCAGTCTGTGTGATAAAAAGGACCTGGAACAGTTGGTCCTGCAACTGTTTGCCTGGGGAAGGAGGGAGGGGAACCATTTACACTTGCAAATGATGGAGTCAGCTACAGCATCGGGGCGGGGGAGTGGGGGAGATATAATGTCCCTGGGTGTGTGAGAATATGTCAGTTATCCACAGCCCAGACCACAATTTGTGTTTGAATAGAATATCCCAAGCCTTTTGATCCCAGATGCTTCAAGTACCCAATGAAATTATTTTCCCTCACCTTCCTTACTTCATCATGGCCCAAGATTTCTTCCTCTACTCAGAGCTTGCTGAGAGAAGTGAGCAGGGAGAGATGGCTGGAGATGGTGACTGCTTCAAGCCATTGCACCCTCGCAGCTCTGTGCTGCTGGAGCCAGAATAAAGCTGCTTCAGACCATGGGCCATGCATGAGCTATGCATCACTTAGGACTTGTTAGCTTCATATATTTTCTTATAAAAAGGGCTGATGTGGTCGGTTGCTCTGAACTGACAGTTGCAGTCCTGAGGCTTAAAATTGATGTCCTTTTTGTTTTGCTTTTTAGTTTAAGTTTGCATTGCTTTCCTTTTGTGTTGCAGCTGGCCCCAGCAGTGTCTTGGGAGATGACCTCATACTAAATAAAACATAGAGGCTGGACTCGAAGCAAGCGTGGGTGGGGTGTGCTGGAGTGTCCTAAGGCCTCAGGGGCTTTCCAACTAACAGAGAAGATGCCATAGGAACAAAAGCATTGCCACATTCCGGCAGCCGGGGTGGGCAGTAGTGAAAACTGAGTGGTCCCAAAAACTGCACTAACGTGTGTAGGTTCTTTGGCAGTGACCAACTGGAGATGAGATGGTCCCAGACCACTCAGTAATGAAGTAAGCAAAGGTAAATGGGAGCTGATTTAGGAGGACGTGTGATTTGCTGGGTTATCTTTGAAGGGAGGTTTCGGCCAAATTGCTTTCAAGCACGATCACAGTGCTGGTGGCAACAGGATTTAAGAGCCTAGTTCTTCTTTTCCTTCCCTCCCACTCTGGGCACTAATTTTCTCTTGCAGTCGTACATGGTGTGCAACCCATGGCACCGTACCTGATTTGGTGAGACTGCCAGCACTAGGTCCAAGTGTCTACTTATTCTTGAGCAGAAGTAATAGAATAGGCACATTATTAAATATAAATATACACAATTAAAATTAAATTTATAAAATTTAGAATTAAATACATTGTATACAATATCTATAATTTAAAATTAAATATATAATTATTATTAAATATAAATAGGCTTAGATAGGAATCTGTTCACCATCTTTTTACCTTAATTATAATATAGACCCTGATATATGCATCTTTTTGTCCTTTTTTTCATGCTGTACTGAAAAACAACAACCAAGTAATGAGAAGGTTTCAAATCATAAATGTCAAAAAAGACACCTCTTTTTCATGAGCATGGTCATTTTCTTACTTTTTTTTTACCACGGGGAAAGAAAGAACATAGATGCAAAGTGAAAAACCATAAAACAATGTCAGCCAGGTACATTAATGATTAAATCTATGGGAAACTGTTGGACTGTGTCTATCACATTATTTTTCATACCAAAAGAAAACAAATGGTAAAACTTATTCTAATATATTATTTAAAAATAAATATTTACTTCAGTGTTTTGGGTTTTTTTCAGAAATTCAGGACCCTCATAATGAGATTAGAATCATATGTAAGTTTAGCACAGGGTGCCTATACAATCAGGATTACCTGGCTGTGCCTATAGATATAACTCAAATTCAAATGCATTTAGCCATTAAGTGCATTTAGCCATCTGCCACCTTAAAGGATAGGCACTGGGTGTTTTTCTTGTTACAGTTACCTACAAAGTATTTTTATAATTGAGGGTTTTTTGCTTTTCGTAGTTCAACTGCAGAATGGTTCATAAAGGAGAAAACATCTTTCATCAAAATTAAATCACATAGAAAAATATTTTCATAAGCCTGGCTAAAGAATTTAAATGGGGAAAATGATAAGTTGTGTTTGTCTGATTTTATTTAAATATTCATTTCATTAATAAAAAGGATATAGGTGATTCTCTTGCATAATAGAAGTTTGAAAAATGTTTAAGAAAAGGACTTGAAGCAAAATAATAAATAGGATTCCAACAGATTTGTACTTGGCTTTACACTGTATTTCTCAAGCAAAAGTCACACTTGTTGAAGCTCCAGAGTTAATAATTTATTTTTTCACCAATATTTTCACCAATATTTCTCTGTAGAGATACATCGATAAAGGAAACAGAACATATACATGGACTGCTGTGAATGGCACTGATTACAGGTAACTCGTTTCTGTTCTCCATCTTCTTTTGTGTAGTTAAATGTCCTTTTTGTTTGTTTTGGTTAATATCTTTAGTGTTTTACGTTTTCTGTACCAGATAAGTCAGGATGAGAGTGCTTTGTGTACAGGCCTCTAGGATTTTCTAGGTTCCTTTACAGCTTTACAGCTCGGAATTGTTGTTCTGTCTAAGGACCAGAACCTCAGTCTTTCATCCAGCTCATATTTCAGTATGCAGGAAAAAAATGGGTTAATGATTGATGATAAGAGTCTTAGTTTTCCTCCTACTTTCTATATCACAGTATACTTTGATTCTTAATTGTATGCTTTCTCTTATATCTCTCCTCTTGTTCTTTTCTTTGCATTTCCATATACTTGTTTTAATATATATATTAAAAAGAAAGATGCTATATTTTTTTTCTAAATGAAGGACATGACATGTCTTTTGCAAGTATTTTTCAGTCACAGTCATTGCTTATATCATGACTTTGCTAACCTTCGTGTCAGATCTTAGGGGCAGGAACCATGCTACTGATTATCTCTGAAAACCGTTTCTATTTCTGACAAGTTTTAACTAATTAGTACTGATTCAGCTTTGTAAGTAGAAATTACATAGTGAATGGCAGGAAGAACAAATAAAGTAAAAATCATTAAAAGCACATGCCCCCTTGAATGAAACTTAAGCAGAAAGCTCTGTAACATTAGAAGGAATGTAGAAAGTTGACATTATCCAAAACAAGTTGAGGTTTACAAAGTCCCAGAAGTTTAAAAACTCTAGTTCAGAACTAGATGGTACAAATATTGAATCAAATTTTTACCAAATCAATGTTTTTATTTTGGTGAATTACAGTAGTCCTCAACCAAGCTGGTTCCCATTTTCTGTTGTGTTCTGCCCAGGTGTGCAGCCAATGAGAATGCAAATGTTAATTTGCATGTAAAACTAAAAAAAAAAAATCAGTTTTAACAAGAGAATGCAAATGTATGATCTTGTATTCAGTATCTCATTTTTCTGTTGAACTTCCTCTATCTTAATAGTCTGTAAGAAAAAAAAGTTTTTTATCAGACTATGCCGTCTAGCAATCACTAAAGAAATGTATTTGATTTATATGACTTCTTAATTCTCACTGAGCTCCTTGGCATGGGATACAGCAATAAATCTATTGCAGAAAACCTATTAAACATAAAATTATAGATTTTAATTAGCAATTTCTGCTAGCCAGTAACTGTTAATGACAGGTAAACTGCTACTGATTTCCCTAGAGGAGAATTGCTGAATATTTATTGATAGCCTTCTTCCAATCTCACTTACATTCTGTTTAAATGGCAAACGTATCATTAAAGGTCATCTCATTTATAGCTCAATTGTACAACTTTTTTAATGTTAATTTCTGCAACTATCCAGTAGAAATCACTGCATTTCTACAGTGATGAAATCCAAGTGCAAAAATTAAGCATGCGATATGGGAGATGATGATACCTCTTCAATGATTACTCATACCTCCTGTCCTTTACATATAATTTTAGAACAGAACTCTTCTACACATGTATTGAATTTAGTTGCAAAAAGAAGCCCTATATTTTTTGAACAAGAATAAATATAATCTAAAAGAAAATACATTGCAAACGCGTTGCAAATCTTAAAATGTCATTATACAATGATGTTCAAAGGTTTTTAGTGGTGACTGCATGATTCAAGGAAATATTTTGTGTCTCAAATGTAATCTGAATTCAAGTATTGCCAGATATATTTCCTAATCAATACCAATAGCTGCTTTATTGTTAAAAAGAGAGTCTGTCATTATATAATGCATGCAAATCAGTGCACTACTACATGCTGTTTTTTTCAGTGAATGATGACTTCAACATGTGTTACACTGAGATACTAAATGCGTTAGAGAAAGATACAAAAAATCATATATTTTATTATTTGCAATTATTTTGAAATTCCTTGCTTATCAGTTAAAAAGTGGATTTATGCTTAAAAGCGGAAATAAGAATGAAAATAAAAACAGGGAACTTCAGGTCTGGCATCAACCATCTTGTGTCTATTACAAAGCATCAGACTGGCACGTCACTATATGAGTATCTCATCTCATGATGATCCAACTTCTAAACTTGTTAATTGCTTTCAAAACACATAGAAGCTGAAACTGGAAAACGGCTGCAAATAACATAATTACTTTACTTGTCTTGTTTCTATTGCAGTTTGGCATTGGTGTTACCATCATACAGCTTTTATTATATTAAAGCCAAAATAGAAGAACCGATAACTCAAGCCAGATGTAAGTACTATGAACGTTCCCTGGTTTTGTCTAGTATTGCCAAGTCTCAGATTCACTTGAAAAAGCAATGTTTAAAATTCATAAATTTTGTGGAGTTCACTGATGTTATCATAATGTACCCAAAATCTGCAGCAATGATTCTAACCCATTATAACATTCAAGGTACAAGAAATATTCTATAAAGATAGAATATGTGCAGGTACCCCAGTTCCACTGACAATCCCTTCCCCCTTGCTCTGTGCCTATTGAATCATTGCTTTGTGTATCCTCTGTTGCTGTCATTTTAAGGGTCTGGATACTATTTTTTTTTTTCATTCTATTAGCTAAATGTCATGATACATACTACAATAGTAAAATTTTTTTTGTTATTTTTACAGTAGTTACAGTATAATATTTAGCAAATTTCCACTGCTGCCCATAGGAATAGATTAATGTGAAAGTGCTGTTTTGTTTGGCTTGCAGATAGGTTTTCATTTTGCATTTTACAAATAGTTTGAGTGGATGTTTGTAGTGTATTTTTGGATTAGACTAATTTCAATAATTTCAAGCCATTTACAGATTCTGGAGAGATAATTGGAAATTATAGTTGTGGGTATTCAGATGCGCTTTTTTTATTATTAGGTGTACTTTATCTGTAATTTAGATAGCAGACAAAATAGAACCCATCACAGTTAAATAGAAGGTTAGAAAAGCACTATGAATCTCTCTGGCAGGCATAGATACTGTTAGTATAGAGAAAATTTGGTTAGCAGTAACTCACTGTCCTCTACCATCACCTCCTGCATATGAAGTAGAATATGACAAGTTTTTAGTAATCAGTGATTTCTTTTGTAACTTTGTCAAATAGTAAGTAGTTTAAAATTAAAGTTCTACTGAGTGAATATGGTTCTCCTGATGGATGAGATCATCTGGTTTTGCACTTATATCAATATAACCTGCAAAACAGACCCTTGAAATAGCCACAGTATATAGAAGGTACTTGAGAAATAATTGAGAAGGATGTATTCTTCAGTCTTCAAAGATGTGTGTCTTTTTTCCAGACTACAGCTGTATGTAAATTGAACCTTTGATCTATCTATGTACAATATTTTTATTCAAGGGGCTGTTTGAATAAAATATTGGTTTGTGATCCCTTTTGCTTTACCCTGTTTTTTTCTGTTCCCCTGCTTTCTCTTTCTGATGGATAGTGGCAATGAAAAAGGGCAAGTATATTCTTGTTGCTCAATTTCCTTCTGTTTACTGCAGTTGATATTTTTCACTTGTATTTCTGTTCCTACTGGATATTCTCCTCTGTATTCCTCATCTCAGAATTTTCCCATGAACATTGGGTACCATAGCAATAGAAAAAAAAAGAAGTGTTTTTCTGTTTTCATGCACATTTCAATAAATTGTTAATCTCTAATCCTTCATTGTCTGGTCCTATCAGTGTTTAGTGACACCAGCTTTTAAAGCCATTATTTCCAGTAGCATTGAAAGTGATGCTTATATTGATGAGTTTTTTAAACTTTATAGCAGAAAATACTAGAAGCATTTTCCTTCATGTTCTAACAACTCAGTGTCCAAATATTTCTTTGTATCAGACTGTAATTCTAATGAAAACATCTCATATGTTTTCATGTTGTCATGCTAACAAAACATCTTCTCTAAGTTATTAGATACATTATTATTGCCAGCTGTGTTTTATATAATAACCAAGTAATTTCTTCCTGTGAAGAAGTGATATACTGAGAAGTATACAGTTTATTAGTAGGAAAGTGTCTCAAAATAAACATTTCTTTCTAAATTCATGGATGCATGCAAAAGCTAGTCAAATATTTTGAGAAGAAAAATTATGTCAAAAAGCCCAGTTTACTTACTTGGTGTTTACTCTTCATCTTCATAGTTTCGGAAACACTGAAGCTTGATCATTTTGATGAATCTGGATATACATTTATAGCACCAAGGTTGGTTAATTTCCCTGTAATAAGTTTTATTTTAGGAGTAAAGCAGCACTCGATCAGATTAATGACATTTACAAAATACAAATGACCAATAATGTTTCATTTTGGTGAAAAAATATTTAGTAAAAGAGCAATTATTAGATTCATGTTTTACAAGATCAGTCTCCTTGCTGGAGTGTAAATAGCACCTTCAGGCTCTGATTCCTGTTTATATTAATCAGAGATCTGTAAAATCTGATACTAATATTTTACGGGCAATTTTATACACATTTGTTCATTTCTTCTGATTGTGACTTTTAAGATTTTACAACTTTTTACCTTACATTCTCATTTGTAAAACAAATACCATAATAGTTCTCTCAAGATGTTTTCCAACTTTAAGGTAAAGTGTTTCAAATCTGTCTATCGCTTATGAATGAATTAATTTTTGATTCATTGAACATAAAAAATTATTGAGTCATTGAAAATTGATTAAATTCATTAGTTCACTGTTTTTTCATGTGAAATTGTGTAGTCCTTGTTGCCCTTGTAAACGTATGTTTGCAAGTGAAACATGGTATGATAAATAGTTGTTAAATATTAATTTCCTCTAAAAGCTAGTTATGATAAACAAAGGAAATGCTGTGCCATCAAGATCAGTTAACAATTGTTGCATTTCTCATTTATCCTTTTAAATTTCAATGAATAGATTGATTCATATGTAAACCATAGTCTTCTATCTTCAAATGTATTCTCAGCTTAAGTGTTGAATTTAATTTTTCTGAAGGAATAAAGTTATTGATAGTCAGTTGTATCAATTAGAGTTTTCAGCAAGTTCCTAGTTGGTAGGCTGATCTACATGAACACAGCTTGTTTGATATGAAGTTCTGTTTAAATGTGAATGTTGCAGTAAGGCAAATTCTACCTGTAGTTTTTCAGGATCATGGTAAAGTAAGTAAAGGGTAATAAGATGGCTTAATCATATGAATTACTTGAACAGACTTATTTTGTTTGTAAAATTAATTGAATATAAAAAGCTCATTTAACAAGAGAGCTCCTTGCTTTACTGCTGAATATGCTCTACATTTTAATTATAGTTGTTTAATGCCACTCACCATCTAATATTTACCTTTAAATTGCCCACTGACTTTTATTGTTCTTTCTTGCATTCAGTGAATTGCCCAGTGATACATTTTTTATTTTATTACATTATATAAAGGACAGTAGTTTACTGTTTATCTGATTTTCATATGTCAAAACAAAGAATGTTTATATGCTTGTGTGTTGTGTAACATTAAAAATGCCTTTAAGAGTTCTTAGAGGATAGGACCTAATTCCATAAATCCAGCCTCAACTGAGCATGAAGTGACTGTTTTAATCAGCAGTCCATGTACTTTCTGGTACAGTTTAACCCAGGAGCAGCTACATTCACTGAGCATTTTCTTGTTTAGTTTACGGGCTCTATAATTTCCTAATTTCATGGCCTACACTAGTCCTGAGTGCTTTTTCTGGGAATCTGTGCTCTCTCTCATACATGGAATTTTCTTATAATTTAGATTTAGACCGGCACTTGAACACTTTATTTCCTGTAGGTGCCTGAAATATTCAATAATGGCCAACATTCAATATTGACCATGGCAGTCAACTGATGAAATAGTGCCAGCAACCTCATTGTAGCTGCAGTCCTGCTTGGACTTTAAAATTGCTGGGCCATATTTTTTGCTTTAGTAGCAATGGAAACGAATCTAAGAAAACTGATACTCTGTTGTTTTTCAGAGAATACTGTAATGATGTAAAAAAATCAGAAAACAACACTGAATTTCTATTGAATTTCAATGAATTTATTGACAGAAATACTCCAAGCAGTCCATCATGTAAGTATTCTTCTCAATTCACTGAACATTTTCCTTAGGAAAATATTTACTCATAATTGACAAATCAGTCAAAATGACATCTTTCATGCCCAAATCATATGGTTTTGGTTTTTATCTTCACCCGATTTTTTAATTATTATTTATTTTTAGTAGAAATACATCTAGTGTTGTGATTTTCTACCCAAGGTAAAGAGCATAAAATTAGTTTGCAGTTTTCTGGGTTTATTTAAGAAAGTTTGCAGGGCATTATACATCCAATGTTTTCCACAATTCTTCTCAGCGTTCTGTTCTAGCAACAAATAACTCACAGTTCTCTTTAATACACGCCAAATATTTTGAATTTATAGTTTTTTCACTTGAACATGTTGGCCAAAGTAAGTCTCAAATAGGCTTCAAAATCTTGTAATGAAATCTTCCTGTCAGTTTATATAACCAGTAAAGGAGCCGAGAACCAAAATGGCCAACAACCAGAATAAAAGTTCCATCACTAGTTCACAAAATGGTTAAAGAGATCTCTCTTGGGATTGAGTTGTTTAAGACCACAGATTCATGCAGCTGCTGCAGTGGTGAGCACTGGGCTTTAGGAAGGTATTCACATTTTGAAATTGGAACTTAAACTCCATTTAGAATAAAAAAAGAAGTTATTATTTTGAATGAACCATCAGTAATGCATTAAAGTCTCATTCTCATGAAAAATTCAATGTTTGGATTTGTTTATGCATACAAGTCTCTTTAGCATTATTAATAATTTATAAATAGTTGGAATACATTTTTTTTGTCTTGCATTCCCCAAGTCTTTTTAACATGTTCCTATCAAGGATCACTGCTCAATTCAATAAGAGTCTCTCCGGTAGTCTATGAAACTGAAGGAATGTGCACTTAGATATGAGGTCTTCTCAAAAAAGTTTATTTTGGTGTGCATAAGTTGGTGTTTGCTGTTGTTTTTAATAAAGTGATCTTGTTCATTGACACATTGTTCACTGAAATGTTACTTGAGCCCCTTGACTCAATCATGGAAATGAGATCATTCACTTCAAATGATTAAACCAGTTAATAAATGAAAATACTATTATAATATTCACTAGTCATATGAACAAATGTTGATGATACATTTAGTGATACTGTAGCATACACTATGGTTTAGTAAGTAGTTATGTCAAAATGTTATCAAATTATTGTTAGATTTCTTTCTGGAATCCACCCCAAAATTTAGTTCTTTCTTTTTTCCAATAATTAAGTTACTTTAAAAATAGTCTCCTGAATAAGTAAACAATGCTGATCAAAGGCAACAGGGGCTATGGAAATTATCTCAGATAAAAACGCTTTTCAAAAGACATAACTAGTAAAATCCCCAAAATGAAATAATCTATATACTAGAAGTTTAATGCCTGTTATATTTTGTCTCACCCCATCCAACTTTAACCTGGTAGAAGTTAGCCAGAAAATTAGACAACTGCCTCTGTTGTTACCAAGGGGATAGTAAAAGTAATTTAGCATACTTGTCGTCAACATCTGCTTTGTATAAGTAAGGAAATCTCATTTTGTAAAGGTGCATGCGGTACAAGAGGATCCTAAACAAAAAATGCATCCAGTAAAATATAGATCTATAATAATCTAATCTAAAGTATTTATATTAACATAGATAAATATAATTCTAAGAGACATATTTTTATATTTGTATTCAGATAGGATATCAACTTAATTTCTAGGAAAAAGTGCAGCAAGACCCTCCAAATTTTGTCCTTACGTTAATTAGGATTTTGTCATTACTTCCACCCAAAGAAATGTTTTTAAAACAGTACTCTTAACTTATATTACATACTATACTATGACATTGTGCATGTGAGTAGGGAAGGTGAGTCTATGGCATTTAATGCAGTTTAACAGGTTTACCTAACTAAGCCATGTAAACCTATCTAGTGAGAATTCAGTTGGTGTATTGAGATGTTCTGAGACAATGCTCCTTGCTGGTAAATCAGAGCTGCTGGCTCTGTGCACAGCATGCACACACATTCGGGCTTCAGTAGATTTTATGGAAAAGCCTTTTTGCTAAAGCTTATGAAGCTTTTGCATATCAAACATCATGTCCCTGTTGATCTGTTTTGTGAAAACAGACTGAATTGTGGTGGTTTTTTTTAAAAAGGACAATATGAGTTTTCTGAAATCTGGGACTTAAGGGTGAAGCAGAAGTGTCATGGGTCTCTATGGACCAAAACTGAAGAAAAGTTGGGGTTTGGGGTTTTGGGGTATGGGTTTGTTTTTGTTTTTTTTTTCTCCGGAAGTTTTCGGTCTCCTCAACAAGGCTTGGCAGAATTCAGAGCTGCAGGTTCTAGTCCCAACTGATTTACCGCCCTGATTTACTGTGTGACATTGAACACCAAGAGCCAGATTTTCCCTTCACATTATTCAGCTCCAATTTAGCCCTGCTTTATTTTCCATAGGTAAAATCTGTTTTAAAGTGTTTGCTTACTTCTGTTGACCATTCCTAGAACTTTCTCTTGCACAGTGGTACTGAAAAAGATGCTTGAGAAGCACTGTCTTCATATTTTTGAACATATTTAAAAATTACATATACATCTGAGCTACTAATTCAAAATTAGTTTATTTCCCTGTACCCATTTTCAGATGGAAAATAAGGTTTTTTGAAAGGCTTGGACTTAACTGATTTAAATATGTTTATATTGTAGTTGAATTACCTCCATTTCTGTAGCATGTAAGAGTAAGTATAACTAAGTGTTGTTTCATTGCATCACCTGAGATAAAAAGTGTTTGAATGAAAACATGTTTTAAAAATAGGTTAATTTCCAAGTTTAACATAGGGACTTTACAAAGCTGGGACTTGTACCCTTATCACCTTGCTTATTCCTATGACACAAAGATAGGTTTTTAGGATACAAGGAAGGAAAGTTTAAGTGAAGTCACCAGTGTGAGAGCAATCTGCTTAACAGTAAGTACTTGATGTAATTTGGAGTTAGACAGTATGTTTAATAGAAATGGCCCAATTTTTGTGGCTGTAGCATCTTGACAACTCAGAATTTCCTTTTAGCCTTTTAATGAAACTCCATGTCATATGGTTTCAGGTGAGTGTCTTAACTCTTTTGATAGGTAATACTGATATGGTCATTAGAGTTTTGCTGGATGCAGGATTTACAAATGACCTTGCCCAAAATTATTGGAGTAAACTGTCTCTGTAAGTATTCTTTTTATTGACTGTGATCTTTTTGATGCATTTCAAAGTTTTGGTAATAAAATAATATATGTGTATGTATATACAGATATACAGTTAATGTTTACACAGGATAGATATCTAATTCACAGTTATGCACTTAAATGGCAACCCTTGACATAGAAACTTGTGAGAATTTAAGTCAGTTTTCATTTTAAATCTTATTTTTGTTTACAGTGATGGAGTTGTTGCACAATTTGTTGTTACAGATGGTGGAATTACTAGAGTGTTCCCAAAAAGGTAACAATTATAAAATAGTATAATATAATTTTGAAACCTGAAAGGTTGGAATGTTGTATAATGGATTTAATGAATGAAAAACAACTCCTTCTACAGTCTAATCTGGACTGATAACTGTGAAATGAATGGTATGTCTTGTTTTTCTTTAATTTTACCTGTGTCATTGCTTGAAACTGATATGTAGCATTATTTCCATAGCAGGTCCTTGCAATCCAAGTTTCTAATCAGTGTAGAGTAGCCATAAAAGCACTGCCCTTGGAGTAGCAGGGCCATGCTAATACCTAATTACTCCAAAGCACTCATTTGTTTGGCAGGCTGACAGTCTGCAAATACTGTCAAGAAGTAGGCTTTTTTTAGGTTAATAAGAGCAGGTCAAATAGTCCAGAAGCTTCAAGAGAGAAAAATGTATCATTACCAGAGGGCTAAAAGGGGATGTGGAAGTGGTCATATAATAAGCTTGACACCCCCATCAATATTTGGAAATAGTGAAGGCACCAGTGTAGATACACTACTAAATGGCAAGTTTCTATGTTTCTGCAAAATGGGAGAATGGCAATGAATTTTAGACCCAAAATCAGTTTTTCTTCTGTTTTGATGTTATTAATTATATAAAATCTTTTGGGATGATTTGTCCATAGATAGCATGTGGTATAAAGGTTTGTTTATGGTTTTTTGTAAGTAGTGTTTCAGTTATATTTGTCTCAAGATATCTAAAAATAATGAGACAAAATCCATGTTGTTCCAAGAATATTATTTTCTTTATTTTCCTTTTTTTTTTTAAATAATTGCACCTGGCAGTTAACCAGTGAAAGCTGACAAAGTCTCAGGACTATATGAATAAATGTCACATTATTTCCAACTGTGAAACATTAAAATAAAACCCCGCACCACAGCTTTAATGAGACTCTAACAATCTTATTTTGGTCACTATTTTTTTGTGATTAGGGCAGGAGAAGATTGGTTGGAAAATGCTGAAACTTATGAAGTCAGCTTCTATAAACGGAGTTTAGATAATGACAACTATATTTTCACAGCTCCATACTACAACAGTAAGTCATCACTGTTTTGAAGTGTCAGGGCTAGCTAGTCCAATATAAGTGTGCCTGTGGACATATCCCATACCAGTTGAGGTCACTGACAAGGGATGCAAGTGCAGTACTTCATAAGGAAGAAAATCTTGGGACATCACCCATTATTAAGGAAAAGGTAGCTAGGAGGGCATTAAAAAAGGGACATCATAATTTGTCAACTCTGGTAGCCCTGTACGCTCAGAATTAACAAACCTGAAAACATGCAGAGTACTGGTATTCATTTATTATACTGAAACACTGTTTTACAGAGCTGCTTTGGCAGAATAATTTTAAAAGGAAGTGAAAGAAAATCTCACTCACGGACAATAACACTCCTTATTTGAGCTGAGTTATGTATACTTCTTCAGCACCAAACCTAACTTGGGGGAGCAGGTATAAGGCTACAGAGTCCACAACTCTGTCCACTGCACCACTGCTTAATTTAAACTTTACTTTGAATTCTATTTCAAATTGCTCTTATTCACCAAAAACAGTTTGTCTGAAATACTTTGATATTTAAAACCTATATACACACAATATTAAGTGCTCGTCACTGATGTGAGCAGCATTAATCTTGCCAAGCTCGTCTAAAAGCAGATGCTACCACAAATGACATACTCCTCTCTTAAACATATGGGATCTTTTATTGCCGTTATTTCATACTTACTTATTTCATCTTTTCTCAATAAAATATTAAGAAGGTAATTAACTAAATTCCCTGAAGCCTTTGTTGTTCCTCAAAGAGCTCCAGGGAATGTACTTTTAACTTGCTTTTTCATACTAAGCAGTGTTGAAAACAGGCTGAAGTCTGTCAGAGAAGTAATTGCTGCTTAGTGAGTGGTGTCAGTATACCCTGCATTGAAAAATACACAGACGACAGCAGGATAAAATCTTTGGCTCTGATCCTGGTTTTAACAGAGCAGTTCACATGTGTAAAGCTATTCATGGTTCTATTTGCAGAAAAAAAAAAAAAGTCTACAATAACTTTATGAAGCAGTGAAACCATGTACAAAAAGTGAATGAAGCAAAGTAAACAAAAGTATTCCACTTAGTCACCCATATGTTAGTGATCTGAGCTATTACAGGTGACAAATGCGTAGTACAACTGGGTCAGTGCTTTTGAACAAGGAATTTTTTGAATCATTCTGGGTACTTGAATGATCATTAATTTCAGTTTCAGAGGAAGAGGCTTTTATATCACCCTAACGTTTTTTTTTCATTTGTCCCTTCTATACTCTCAGAAAGTGGTGCCAATAGCTATGAAACAGGTATTATGGTAAGCAAGGCTGTGGAAATAACAGTTAATGGGAAGCTTCTGAAACCAGCAGGTAAGATAGAGTGCTGCTGAAACTCTAAATACATCGGGTTTTTGGTTGTTGCTCAACAGTGAATTAGAAATTTAATTGAGATTTCAAAAGAACTTCACTTTTTATAACATTATTTTCTCTGAGACTGTTTTAATCTTTCTAGTGGAAATCAAGCCAAAGATCTGGTTGTGAGTAAGAGTGCTTAGTTTATTAGTCTCATGAAGGATGTTGGTGGTCAGACAACTGAGCAAAACTCATATTTTGTACTTTTTCATTTTAATTTTAATAATTTAGATGTTATTAATATTTCCCTCTATTTTTAGGACTCTACAGTTACCTTTTTTTTAATTTTATTTTATTTTACTAAAAAAGACTTTCATGTATTTCTTGTTAGTTGTTGGAATAAAAATTGACGCAACCAGCTGGATGGAAAATTTCACAAAAACCACAATCAAGAGCCTGGTAAGCAATTGACCAAGTCTTTTTTGAACTTTATTTGCATTTCTCAAAGCTCCAAATGCAAATAGGTCTAATAGCTCTTTGTGCCAGAGTCACACTGATGCATAGTTGCCAAGTAGTTGTGGTATTTAAATCATCCAAGTGCCCAAAAAGATCTATGTTGAAATAGGCTGTATTTTGTACGTGTCTTGCTTTCATAATTACAGAACATGGATAAAGACAAAGAAAAATTACATATTCCAGCCAGTAGGCTCCCTACTAAGATTATACTCTAGCAGTGAATAAAATCTGCAAAAGAATTGGTGAATCTACTCTTTATTTAATACAGAGGATGGTTAAGCAGTAAACAGTAAGGATTTATAGTGCAACCAACATCACAGCATTTTAGCAGAACTTCATGAAATAGGCGCTTAACCCTTCCATTCCTTACATATAATGCTTATATATAAATGAGAAAGAGGAAAGGCTAAATGGAAGGGAAAAAACTAAGGAATTAGTCAGACATTGGGAAAGGAAAGGCACAAAATGAAGACTATTATGGAATAATTGGATGAGTCAATGTTGCTTGGTTGGTTGTATATTAAGGGTATTTTTAGCAGTGACTGGCCATTGTATATATTAGAGCTGTAGTTCAATGGGTAGACAGATGCTTTCCCTAAATGTCATAACAGTTAAGGACAAAAATACATAACTGAAAAAGAGAAAGAAAGAGGAATATCTCAGAAACACTTGGAGATGAATGACTGCAGATGAATCTGGTAGTTGTTTTGCTCATGACATAATGCAGTGAGACAGTTATGTGTATATACACATACTTCATGAAAAAAGAGGAAAACATGTTAATAATCAAAGTCATAACAGCTAACTGGAGATGGTGGGCTTCCTTTGTCACATGGGATTCCCATGCTTTGAGACTGATGAAGCTTTTCATGGTCAAAGAAGCTAACTTGGCAGCATGTTTTCTAGGCTTTCTTTACATACCCCAAACATATGGAAATGTACATGTTCTTTCTCTTTTACTCTATACTCATAACACTGACACCCTTACGAGTTCTCCAAACTATTTTTCTCTCATATATCGACTATACTTAATGAGGGGGATGTATCAGACACTTTATGAAAGACAGTAGAGATTGTTCTGTTGATAATTACTGAATATAGTTTGCTCACAGAGGTAATTGTGATAAACGACACAGACTCAAAATTAATTTAAATTCGTTTACAGTTACTAAAAGTCAGTTCACTTTTTCTTGTTTGATTAATATTACTGCAAAATACAGGGGGGTTTGAAACATTTTTGTGAAGATTACTGTACTTCTGTTTTTTAGTGCAACAGTGAAATCTGTGGCTGTGAAAGAAACAGTATGGTAAGAATATGTTTGGTTTATGAATATCTGGCAGATTATGAAAATTCACTCATTCTATCTAGATTTATCTAAGACAGCAATTCTATTATTGTATGAATGTTAATTTTACAGAAAACAAGGCCATCATTTGTGTTTTCAGAAAGAGATGATTAGGACGGGAGGGTGTAAAAGAGGGTATAAAACTCCAGTTAAGTGGAGTTTTATAAGAACTAGAGGAAAGAAAAAAATAGAGTAAGAGCAATAGAGACTAATGTGAAGAAAAATGGGAGAAAAATATAACAGATGATTTTCAAAGCAAGTGTTGAATCCTGAGGAAAGGGAGTAATTAAAAAAAAAAAAAAAAAAAAAAGAGAGAAAAAGAAATACCTTAGAGAAGGGTAAATGCAAACTGAAAAGCACCAGAGTATATATCTCTGACTGCAAGGATCTCTTAAAAAATGCAAAACATAGGGAACCAGTGGGCTTCCCATTCCTGTGCCTGACACCTAGAGGAAACCCACTACAGTCCTTGGCAAGTGAAAGGAACAATGACTAGCAAGCTGCGAATTTGCCCTTCAGATTTTTACTATTAAAAACTGTAAATGGAAAAGGATTTCAAGCATGTCTGAAGCACACAAGCTGTAGTCCCTTATTATGAGTTGAGATTCAATTTTAATCAGATTTAATAAGGATATAACACTCTTAGAGCTAACAAAGTATTGAGCAAATAAGAATTTACAAAACAACTTTTGTGAAATTAAGCCACAAATAAGCCTTTGATCTGTACAAACTTTTATAATACTGATAGTGGTACTTATTATAGCTTAATATTGGCCTTTGGCTATGGGGTTGTGATTTAGCCTGAGCCACACAGATTTGAAGATACTTTTGAAATGTTGAATAATAAATAGTTCTCTTAACAAATCCTTCCTGCAAAACATCTTTTACTTTCTTACAACAGCATGTGGACTGTGTTATCCTTGATGATGGTGGATTTCTTTTGATGTCAAATCGGGATGAATATACACAACAGGTATGTATATTTTTAAGGGCAGAACAAGAAAAACAATATGAATAAGTTTTAAGAGAAAAAAACAGCATTTCACTCTCAACTTACCCTAAAAATAATATTTCCAAATCACAAAAAATTTACTGTATTAGAAATTCCAATTATTTTGTTAGTCTTTTTCACAGACTTCTTTATGGTTCAAGATGCCATACTTCTACTAATTGTGTTCTTTGTGCTCTGCCCTTAAGCTGGTAGGCTGCTGACAGAACTGTGATGGTGAGGGCAACTAATATGGCATCCACCCACCTTATTTCTCAGATTCCTTTTTTTCTTCCCCAAGCAGGGTAGACTCATTGATAGTGCATTTAACAAGTACTGTCTAACTGGAATTCTCCAACCAAGCTTTTGGGAGAGAAATAGTCAAACAAGCAAATAAATAAATAAGCAGCACAATCAATTGAGTTGTGTAGAGGGAAAAAACAGTGGGGGGAAAAAATCATAAATCTTCACTGCACTTTTTAATGAGAAAAATGTTTGGCAATACTTTAACTTATCTCTGTATATTCTCCCTTATCAGATTGGAAGATTCTTTGGTGAAATTGATCCTGGCCTGATGCGAAACCTGATTAATATGTCCCTGTATGCCTTTAATAAGTCGTATGACTATCAATCAGTCTGCGATCCTGAAGAAGAACCAAAGCAAGGAGCTGGACTTCGTTCTGCTTATGTGGTCAGTAGTCCTTTGTACAATGACTGATATTCCCTTAAAAATCTGCAGGTCTGTATACAAATAACATAATCTCTGTTGTTTTTTCCCAAGCCTACGATAACAGATATTTTGCATCTAGGATGGTGGGCTTCGGCAGCTGCCTGGTAAGTACAAGTGTGTAGGAAAACTTTTATGTCCAAACTAGAATTAATGAGTAGGTTGAAACTGTATTACTCTTTTTATTCCATCCATAAACCCACTCTGAACCCTTTGTTTCTGCAGTTTCTCCTGGTGAAAATTCTTAGCTATGTCTCCAAACTCCTTGGAAAATTCATTGTTAATTCAAAACTACTGTTGCCAGATTTTGTGATTGTGTGTTCTGACTCTATAAAATCAGCTTCAGGAAGCAGAGTTGGGATTAATGGTCTAAGTCTGACTAGCAGGTGTGAAGGCTTGAATGAAATTATTACATTTAGAATTATTGACCACTTGGTTCCCTATTTCAGAATATCATCTTTCTCTTTTTCTAACAAGAAGTCTTAAGAAAATCAATGTTTGTTTTTCAGTGAATCATTTTACAAACACACGTGAATCATAGAATCATAGAATGATTTGGGTGGGAAGGAACCTTAAAGATCATCTAATTTCACCCCCCAGCCATGGGCAGGGACACCTTCCACTAGCCCAGGTTGCTCAAAGCCCTGTCCAACCTGGCCTTGAACACTGCCAGGGAGGGGGCAGCCACAGCTTCTCTGGGCAAACTGTTCTACACAGTAAAGAACTTCTTCCTTTTATCTGATCTAAATCTACCTTCTTTCAGTTTAAAACTGTTATCCCTCATCCTATCGCTACATTCCCTGATAAAGAGTCCTTCTCTGTCTTTCCTTTAGGCCCCCTTTTAGTACATGTCATGGTTTAAGCCCAGTGGGCAACTAAGCACCACATGGCTGCTCACTCACTCCTCCCCGCAGTGGGATGGGAAAGAGAAAATATGACAGAAGTCTCAGGGATTGAGACAAGCACAGGGAGGGCTCACTCACCAATTATGGTCACAGGCAGAAGACAGACTCAACTTGGGAAAAACCACCAATTTAATTTGAACACCACCACCACTAGTAATTTACCAGTCAAATCAGAGTTGGATAGTTAGAAATAGAACCACATCTTAAAAACACCTTTCCTCTACCCCTCGCTTCTTCCTGGACTCAACTTTGCTCACAGTTTCTCTACCTCCTTTTCCTCCAGTGCTACAGAGGGGAGGGAATGGGGCTTGCGGTTAGTTCATCACCCATTGTTTCTGCCACTTCTTCCTCCTCAGGGGAGGACTCTCTTCCCCTGCTTGAGTGTGGGATCCCTCTCATGGGAGACAGTCCTCCACAAACTTCTCTAACATGGGTACTTCCCACGGGCTGCAGCTCTTCATGAACTGCTCCAGCATGATTCCCTTCTATGGGCTAAAATCCTCCCAGCAACAGACTGCTCCAGCATGGGCTTCCCTCAGAGTCATGGTCTTCTTCAGTTGCAGCCACCTGCAGTGACATGAGGTCCTCCATGGGCTGCGGATGGATAGTCTGCCATCTCACCATGGGCTGCAGGGAAGTCTCTGCTCCAGCACTCAACTTTCCTACTCCTTCACTGATCTTGGTGTCCGTATAGGTGTTTCCAGCACTCTACTCCTCTCTCCACGGGAGATTCCTCAGCAGTTACTTTCTTTCCTTCTTAAATAAGTTATCACAGAAGCACTACCACCATCACTGATTGACACGGCCTTGGCCAGAGGCAGGCCCAGCTTGGAGCCAGAGAAGCTTCTAGCAGCTTTTCACAGGAGTCACCCCTGTAGTCCTTCCCCCACCACCAAAACCCTGCCACACAAACCAAATACAGTACTGGAAGGCCACTATAAGGACGCCCTGGAGCCTTCCCTTCTCCAGGCTGAACAACCCCAACTGTCTCAGTCTGTCCTCATAGAGGAGGTGCTTCAGCCCCCTGAGCATCTTCATGGCCCTCCTCTAGACTGACTCGAGCAGGTCCATGTCTTTCTTATTCTGGGGGCCTTAGAACTGAACACAGCACTCCAGGTGGGATCTCACGGGAGGGCAGTAGAGGGGGAGAATCACCTCCCTCAAGCTGCTGGCCACACTTGATGCAGCCCAGGATACAGTTGGCTTCCTGGGCTGCGAGTGCACATTGCTGGCTTATATTCAGTTTTCCAGCCACCCATACCCAAAGTGCTTCCCCACAGGGATGCTCTCAATCCACTCATCCCCCAGCCTGTATTGATACTGGGGGTTGCCCTGACCCAGGTGCAGGACCTTGCACTTGGCCTCATTGTACCTCATGAGGTTCACGTGGTCCCACTTCTCAAGCTTGTCCAGATCCCTCTGGATGACATCCCATCCCTCAGGTGTGTCAACCTCACCACTCAGCTTGGTGTCATCTGCAACTTGCTGAGGGTGCACTCGATCCCACTGTCTGTGTCGTTGATGAAGATATTAAACAGTACTGGTCCCAGTACAAACCCCTGAGGGACAGCAATTGTCACTGATCTCCATCTGGACATTGAGCCATTGACCTTCTGGATGCGACTATTCAACCAATTCCTCATCCACTGAACAGTCCACACATCAATTCCATATCTCTCCAATTTAGAGAAGGGTGTTGTGGGGAACCGTGTCAAAGACCTTACAGAAGTTCAGATAGACAACATTTGTAGCTCTTCCCTTATCCACTGATAACTGATAACTGTAGTTACTCCATCAGAGAAAGCCATTAGGTTGGTCAAGCAGGACTTACCCTTAGTGAAGCCACTCTGGCTGTCTTGAATCATCCATGTGCCATGAGATTGCCAGTGAAAGCTGAGGCAAAAAAGTTGCTGAGTACCTCAGCCTTCTCCTCGTTCATTGTTACCAGTTTGCCAGTTTTGCTCATTGAGAAGGTACACTTTCTTTGGACTTCCTTTTCTGGCTGACATACCTGTAGAAGCCCTTCTTGTTATTCTTTGCATTGCTTGCCAAGCTCCAGCTGCACCTTGGCCTTCCTGACCCATCCCTACATAACCAGGCAGTGTCCCTGTACTGTTCCCAGGATACCTGTGCCTGTATCCACTGCCTGTGCATTTCCTTCTTACCCTTTAGTTTGACCAGGAGGTCTCAACTCATCCATGCTGGTCTCTTGCCTTCCTTTCCTGATTTCTTACATGTGCGGATCAAGAGCTCTTGCGCTCTGTGAAAAACTTCCTTAAAGATCTGCCAGCCCTGTTCTGCTCTCTTGTCCCAGCTCTGTTCTCCCTTGTCCCAGCTCTGTTCTGCTCCCTTGTCCCTGAGGGCAGTTTCCCAGGGGATCTTATTGACTAACTCCTTGAACCTCTGAAGTTTGCTTTCCTAAAATTTAGTCCTGACTTTACTCTTTGCCTGACCCATATTGCTTGGAACTGCAAACTCCACCAGCGCATGATCACTGCTGCCCTGGCTGCCTCCAATCTTGACATCACCAATCAGCTCATTTGCATTGGTGACTGACAGATCCAGTGTCACAACCCCTCTAGTAGGGCTGTCTATTACCTGTCTTAAGAAGTTGTCCTCAATACACTCCCGGAATCTCTTGGATTGCCTACAGCTCGACATGCTAATTTTCCATAAGATGTCGGGGTGGTTGAAGTCCCCAGCAGGACAAGAGCCTGTGAGTGCAATGCCTCCCGTAGCTGGAGTAAGAAGGCTTCATCAATAGGCTCCCCTTATCAGTCAGCCCAGAAACGGATAGATTTTGAACAGCTGTATCCTTCCTTGTCTGTCCCTTCTGAACAGCCTGTATTTGCCTACACATAACAGATTTTTTTTCTTCCGTTACGTACCATTATGTTTTAAAGTTGGGGTTTTTTCATAATCACTTCAGAACAATATAGAGGAGATATGAGTAGCAGGTGTGTACTTTATGTAGTAAACTGACATATAGATAGTATGAGCCAGCACATCTCAGGGCAACAGGCTGAGGGCCCTCTCTAGCACCCTGTCCATCTAATCTTGGCATGTCATCCCACATCTTGTCACGGGCAATCCTGATATTATCCCCTATTCTTTCAAGCCTAGTTGAAAGCTCTGTCAATGAGCCCTGCTAGCTTGTGAGTAAAGAAACTTTTCAACTACAAAATGTAAAGAAGTCTTGCTTCAGAACTGCAGGATGACCAATATATTATCTGATGGCACAGTTCACTTAAAAGCTCTTATGATAATTATTAGTTGGTTCTTTGAAATGGGATGTGAAAATCACTAGTGAACTATTTCAAGGAAGCAAATACATATAAAACATTTTGAATAATCCTATAGTCATTGTTCTAGTATTTTCTATAGCTGATGGGAAAAGTTGCTATATTTGGGCTGTTGTGGATTTTTGGGATTGACCTTGAGAGAGGCAGGATTCCACAAGCAATTAGTTTTATCTTTCACAGTCAGAATACTGGATCCATTTTAAAACTAAAGGTCTGTTTATGAGCTTTCTTTTCTTTGGACTTTGGTTTGTGCATTATTAGTAATAGCCACAGAGATAATTTTACCTTTTTCAGAGCCATGTAGATAGACACCCCTATCAGCTACTTACTCCAGCATCACACTGGGATAAGTAATTGGAACCAATGTGATAGTTTTGTATTGGTGTGATAGCACCCTTGGAGACTTTTCCTTTTTCTGAAGTTTCACGAATCTAAGAGGTAAAATGTATAGCAGCTGAACAAACACAATTTTCTCACAGATATGAAGATTGTATGTTGGTTTTTATTGTTGGTTACATTTTGTTAACAGCAACAACAAAAATCTTGGTTTTCTAGGATAATAGCAAACCTCAAAAACTGGATATGGGCAATAATCCAGAAGAGAAACTTGAGCTCTTCCCAAACAGAGAAACTTTAGTTTATCAGTGTTCAAATCAGACTCAGTGGTCTGGACTCAATTTAGACCTGAGGTTTATTTTGTGTGATGTTTAACTTGAAAGCACCACATGAAAGTACTTTCTATGGACATGTTTTTAATGGAATCTAGGTCAGAAGCAGGCAGAGAAGGCCATTAAGCAAGCAGAGTGAAAAGGGCTGACCAAAAAATGGATTCAGTGAGGCACCTGGCAAAAGCAAATGCAGGGAAATAAGAGAAACCAGGTTATTAAAGAAAAGTATAGTGTTTCAGGCAACAATGTGGGATAAAGGTGTGAGCGATAATTTTCAAAATTTATATGGGATACATCAGCATTTAGTTAAGAGAGTATGTATCATTTCTCCTTCATGCTCCTTTAACTCATGAGATTTTAGTTTTCCCAGGCTGCCTTTTCACTCAGTTCACGGTAAATTCTGTGGTAAGCCTTTACGGAGGATTACTATTTTCTGGCAGCAAATTGAATCACAGTTGAATGGCATCAGGTCTCTTCTCATCCGTGGCGGTTGGTGCACTATCCATCTGTTGATTCAAGGCACAAAGCTCTGGATGTGAATCCAGAGCTCCTTCAGGCCATGCACTGGAAAGGTGACAGGCAGATTCAATTTCTTTACACATGGATCACACTGGATAAGGAGAAAATGGAAAAAATCTTGGAGGTTGAATAAAGTTATGCAGAGTTCCTTCTCTCTACAGAACGGGTTTTAGATCAGAATGAGATGAAGAGAGATGAAAACGTATTTATAGGTAGAAGCAAACCTAAAACATGACAAGAGGAAACTATAATTTAGGAAGGTTTAAGTAGAAGCAAGGAGTCAAGGAATAGAACTGTTGCAATTCCTGTTTTGAGAGGTTCGTAGAGGACAAGGGGGCCATGTGGCAAGCTGGTACTTGTTTTAAGTAAACAAAATAGGAAAAATATGATAATAGTGAAGAAAAATAATATGAAATAAATGGAGGTCTTGAAGTGTTTCAGCAGTACCTAGGATGAAAATATTCCATACCTCAAGAGCAGGAAGAGATGATTTTAGAAGTCAACTGCTATAGTAATTATTTTTATAATATTTTTGTAATATTCCAGTGTTCATATCCTTCTCAGCAATTTAATGAACCTTAATCAGTGTGAAGTATCTAATTCAGGAGCATTTCCTTGAGTGTGTTCAAAAGGAGTTCTGGTTGGTTTAAGTGATAGAGGAACACCAACATACCTCTTCCCCCTCCCACAGAGGTATAAAAGGAGGACATGGATAGCATGGATAACATTTCCATTATGTGAGTTATGGGCACAAATGATAGGAAATCTCAATAGTAAAATAAAAGTTTAGTGTGAAAGACCTACAAAAAGGAAACCAGAGTCAAACTTTAAGTTTTAAAGAAACACAGCTTTGATAACTGGCAAAAGCATAATAAGCCATGATGATTTTGTTGTTAAGAACACTTATTTGAGTTGTTTTTAAGGATCCATTAAAATACAGAGACAAAGAGCCTTTAATAAATATATAATGTCTTTCTGTGTTCAGGTCTATCTTACAGCAGCTGTTTTTGAGCTTGACTTTTCCACGTTTCCTTGAAGCAGGTAAGTCAAGAGAATGTTAAAGACTCAACTTTGAGTGAAGTAGAAGGTAAGAATCTAGGCTGGGGGCCATATTTGGATTTCCCCATTGCATCTGTGACCTAAAAATGTCGTTGTTATTTATTTATTTTCTTCTTTCTGTCAGCTGATATGGAAGATGATGATTTCAGTACTGCCCTGCCTAAAACAAGCTGTATCACTGAGCAAACTCAGTATTTCTTTGAAAATGATGATAAATCGTTTGGTGGGATTGTAGACTGTATAAACTGCTCCAGGTAAAAATTCTTCAGTATAAATAATAACTTCTGGATATTCATTTATTTTACAAAACATAACGCCACTATTACAAGAAGAAAAAATACATTTTGGATTAATTACACCAAAATTACCTAAGCAAGACAGAGAAGTATATAGAAAGTAGAATGATAAATTGCGTTATCTTTGTATTTGGTTAGAATGAATTTTAATTGTAATAATTAAATAATTATAGAAATATTTTTGTCTAATTTTTGTTTTATAGTCTGTATATGCTCCATGCAAATTGTATTTCTATCTCTGTTGCAAGTTGATTTCTTTTAATTTATTACGTGAGTTTACAGGCGTTCTGCAATATTCAGGAGATTATTTTCTTTAATGTAGTTATGCATTGCAATTTTTGATGGTCCATGCTGTTTCATTTTGTGATTAAAAGAATTACTCTTCAGGGTCCATGTGGTTATTCAAGATGATGTTTAACGTTACGTTAAAAAAATTGAATACTTCAGAAACATAGCTACTTAGACCAAGTTCTGGGTTTCATACAGAAGCCTGCTGGGTTTAATGATTGCATAAATTAGGAGTTTCTGAAAATGTCTTAGAAATTAAAATTAACAGTCAGATTTCAAACTCTTTGAAGACAATATTTCAAGCCAGGAAGGAAAAACAGAGGACATTAGTGGAGAATGGTGAATACAGCCAAAGCACGTAGACATTTTTTCCAACTTCCATACTTCCTCCTCTATATTGCTAGTATGTCTTTCTGTGGTACCTGGTTGTGCAGAGAAATCATTAAACTGTTTTTTTTTGTTTTATTCTTGGTTCTTGTAGGGGTTTTTTTTGTTTGGTTGTTGATTATTTTTGTTTAATCTAGAGAGTTTTCAGAAGAGTTCTTTAGTTCAATTTACTGAAAGACTACAGAAATTACTATGCTAATATTGCAAAAATAGTGCCACAGTGTGGGAATGAGTATGAAAAGACAATTTAAGATGGTTAAAACAACCAGATGTTAATCATAACATCAGTTATTTAATTAACAGGTGGTTTGTCCTCTTATTGTACCCCATCAGGGGTATCAACTCATCATATGTGAAATTTCAGAAATAATCTGATCAATTCATACCTAAGTAATTATATATTACCACTCTCCTTATATAGAGAGGTAACCTTGTATATGAAAAAACTTGCTTGTTAATTTATATGTGTATGAATATGTATTTAGAATCCATTAAAAGCAATTAACCTGTTAGACTGTCCTGATTTTAGCTCTCTTTGACAGGTAGAATATATTTTACTAAGGACTGAGAAATATTAAGATTTTTTTTTCTCTGCTCTTTTGAAGGTCTGTCTTCCTTTCCAGTAAATTTAAATTGTATATGAAAGTGGTCTTTGCAAAACCCAGAAATATCATTACCTTTAGTATCTTAAGGCATGAAGTGTAGTACACATCTAATACATCTAATACACAGCATAGGTACTCTAAACCTCTTTCTCACCCTTCTTACAGACAGGTTCGTGTGTTGGGGTTTTGTTGGTTTGGTTTTGTGGTTGGGGGTTTTCTCAGTGTTGTTAGGGATTGGTGCTGAAATGATTTTATTTCTCAGTACAACCACTGTTGCAGCAGTACAGAGCTAGCTATTAGCTCAATTAAAGTAATTTTATGTCTTTTCTGCTAATAAGCCTAATTGAAAGAGGGAATGACGCTAATGTCAAAAAGATTACAAAATTTGTTAGAAATGTTTCTTGCAGTTTGTTAATGGAAAAGATAAACAGTAGCAGGCAGACTTAATTTGTGAAGTTGGCTTACTTTTATTCCAATACTGTGTGTCCTTCTCGAATACAGATTTCCTTGCTTCATTTAAACATAGCTTTTTGTTGGCCTTTTTTCCAGACTTTATCATGCAGAGAAGATTTCAAACACCAATCTAGTATTCATTATTAGTGACAGCCAACTGCTGTGCCGCTCCTGTGACCCAAAGCCACTGATGCAAGCGGAGAAGCCGGGTATCCTTTAAAATCATGTTATTTAGTAGTGTGGATTGATTTTTGGCTATGATATACTGGAATATATTAGGGAAAAAAATGACCTGGTTTTATACATATTAGTAACATGGTTGCACTGGAGTACTTGAAGCAGCAGATACTTGTGGATGATTTCATAAATGATCTGAGGCAGAAGTCATTGAGGTAGGAGAATGGAGCTGTTATTTGTGAGGACCTAAACAGAAATGGGCTCACAGAAACTTAATGAAATTTCCAAAAGGCAGATGCAACGTTTTGGACCCAGGACAGAATAACAACATGCAGCTGGACAGGCTGGCATTGGAGTGAAGAACTTTGCAGAAAAGGACTTGAGGATCATGGTGGACAAGAAGTTGAACATCAGTTGGCACTGTGCCTTGCAATAAAGAGGGCCAGTCATAGCCTGGGTATCTTAGAAACAGTGTAGTTAACTGCTTGGAAGAAGTGCTCCATCCCATCTCTTTGGCAATGGTGAGAACACATCTGGAGTGCTGTGTACAGTCAGGGGCTCCCCAGTACCACACTGACATCCTGGAGGAAGTCCAGTGAAGGGCCACCAAGGTAGCTGACATCTGGACCACAGGACAGGCAAGGGGAGCCTGAGAGTCCTGTGTTTGTTCAGCCTTCAGAAAAGACAAGGGTAGGTCTGTCTAAAGAAATTTTTAAAAGGCAATACCAAGATAAGAGGATCATGAAAAGTTGTGATGCTGCACTGATGCCTGCAACACTGATGCGAAGTGATGGAGGTACTTTAGTGTGTGCTTAGTGTCAATAAGAACTGCTTGCTTCTTGTGGAAAGTGCTTTAACCATCAAAGGCTACAGTTTATCCAGCTGCTAGCATAGAATTTCTTCAAAGCTGTCTGGAGACATAGGTGGCATACATGCTAAGCGGAGTCTGTGCAACACATACATTAAAATTAAAAGCATGTGAAAGGTTGTTCTAATTTACAGTGTCCTTCATATCAATCTCTATGCCTTTAACCTTTTCGCTCCAGTAGATATCTGTAGGTGATGGTGATGAAAATACATAAAACCAACATACACATGTTCTAGACCAAGAGAAATTCTCCTAAATCTCTCTTTGCTATATATGCTTGAGAATAGCATGCCAGAGATACTAAATCAAATCATAATTTGGATTATTGTAACAGAATATGGAAAACAATTTGTAGGACCTTTGTCCATATCAGGAAGTTAGTTGAGACAGCATCTCCCATTCCTGAAAGAAAACCAGATGGTGGTAGAGATGACTCTTTCTTTGGCACAAACAATGCATTCATTGCCACATTAATAAAACTGGAATTCCATCCACACTTTGGCTGAAAAAAAAGTTACATTGAGGTAGAAGCAATATCTATGTCATCACAGAACCATGTAAACACAGCCTAATATTCTAATTGGCTCCAGTCCATGACAGTTTGATTAACTGTTGCCACTGTCTGAATTTATAGACAGCACTCGCTGTAGAAAATGAAGCACATTTGATGGGAAATGGGCACATGACTTGCATTTCCCCATGGGGCCCAAACATTCTGGAAAGCAATAAATGACCGCAAATGGCAGCTAGACCAGCTGGGTGGGCATATATTGACTAAATGAACTATTTTATTTTTGTTCCAACTACGCAGCACTAAGCTATTCTCTCTTCTATAACTAAGGTACATTGTGAAATGCAGATGTAGCATAACATCACACAAGCAGTCAGAATGGCCTTTGGGTGCTATTCAGATGGTTATTATTAGGCTTTGCTTCCTTCTGACTGGTACAGCTTTGCTTGTGCACATGGTCTTTTAGAGTATTTCTACGTTTTGACTTCCCTTTCAGCTGGGCCCCAGCAGAGGAAAGGGGGGCGGTGAGTCTGATAACATCTGAATGAAGACAGATGTAGATCTGTAGAACTAAATTCCCCATCCTCTTGCCGTCCTTCCATTGGGCATCTCCACTCATTGCAATGAAGCTGCTGTAATACACCACAGTAGTGCATGAATAGAATTGCTTCAAGTATAAGTTAGAGCTACTAAGTACAGTTCTGTTGCTCAATTTTTTTTCAAACACTCTCCAGCTTAGCTTTAATGTGTGTACTACCAACAGTGGAATAAAAAAAAAACTTAACTTACTAAATGGTAATATAAGGAGGTTTCAGCAGAAGTCAGTTTTGCAGTTTATCATGTCCATGCCTTTCAGGTATGATGCAATGACTTGTGTCCCTTGTTAGCCTGTGGCAAATGGGAAAAACAGTATTTACACTTAAATATCAGCAATTACAGATTTCAGAAACATAAGGTAAAGCATTACCTCGTGTTTACAGTTAGCTAATTAATAACACGTCACTGTTCCCATTTCTATCCTGCTGTTCTGCTGTTTGGACAGCATTTGCCTGCCTTCATCACTGAAATGCTAATGAGGTCTGACTAGGCTTTCTGTCATTTACTATCAAAGCCTACACTGGGATGATCTTGTCTGTGGTATCTGAGGTAATATAGGTGTACACATACTAAATCCAGTAGTTTTTATAGGCCCTCACTCCAATTTCCAGCCTGTATATAGCATTACTTTTGCAAACAGGCTTCTGCGCTTTTACTGCGTGTCTTCATTTTGGCAGAATAACTCAGTGGTAACATATGCTATAACCAATCAGCACCATTGAAAGTTTACTACTTTATCAAATATTTTCTGTAAAATTTATGCAACGGTAATAAAAGTAATACAGAAAATCTTAAGAACCCTCAGCTTTTATTTTTGTTTTGTGTACGGTTCTGGAAGTACGGGTTCTAAAAAGTCATGCAGGATGTTTATTTTCTTGATTAAAGCAGTGTAGAAAAAGACATTTGATTTCGATTTATCTGGAGGGTTGGGTTGGGTTGGGTTGGTTTTCTTTAATTTAAACAAGGAATGGTGACTATTTTTGTTTATTTCAGTACTATCTGAATTAGCATAAAACTTCTTTCCCATGAAAGTAAAAACAGAATGTTAATCCTGCTAATGTATGATGCACGAAAAACAGTCCTTCTCCTTAACCAGAGAAACAGATGAAGGGCCAAATCCTTGTGAAATGGTCAAACAACCTCGATACAGAAAGGGTCCCGATGTCTGTTTTGATGAAGCCAAACAGGTAAAATCGGACTTATAAGACTTTATGACTACCTTTAAAAGCAACTGTAGAGCTGATTTTAGAAGAGCAGTGAAAACTATGTTTAAATAGACCTTGGTGCCTGGTAAACTATCTATCACTGAACATACTATTCACTCTAGACCATAGACACTCTATTTCAAGTAGCCCATGATGAACATAAAATTAACAGCTGCTTTCTTATCTGCCTTTCCTATAACCATTTTACTTTCACACATGATTCCCACTAAAAACACCCATCAGCAAACATAAAACTGGTGGTCTCTGTATGGTGCTGTGAAATCCAGTGCTATGGCTTTCACAAATAGATGATAATTCTGGCTTAAAAGTAGTATTTTTACATTAGTGTTTCCAAATATTATTTAAAGGTGTTGTTAAATGTTCAGAAACATTTTATCTTGTTTAAGGTGTCGCTCCTCTTAGAAATTCTGCAAATGTGTATTGACCTTAGGTCACATTCTTAACAGGTATAAAGGTGCATTTGATTTACTGATACCAGCAAAACTATGCTGTTTAGTACTTCCTATACCATATACATTACAGATTGGAAGGAGAAAAATTATAACTGTCACATACATAAATAATTTTGAATATACTCTCTGTCTTTTGAAAATACTGTATGAAAAACAATATGTTGAATTCAAGTTGTTCAGAATAGATTTCAAGACAAAAACTACTGAATGGGGAAGTACCTGCCATTATATAAAATAAATATCTTAAAAATGTATCTTTAATGCCTCATCCCATTTCTGCAAAAGAAATATTGACCAAACCTAGTGCAATTAGTTGCCTGCTGTATATGCTGGAACAAATTTTGCTCTAGTATATTCTCTGCTTTTACTTAATGAGGCACAATTACTGACATGCCAGTAGTGTTAAAAAAAGTCCAGGCAGTTAGTATCCAATGCATTTTTTTAATAACCAAATTTTATGTTAGAAAGGAAGTCTTCTTACTGTCCAACAAATGTTAAAAAAAGCTGGAAAACCATCCAAAAGCGATTTGGCCATTGTAAATATTCTAAATCCTCCTGATATGATTGTGTGTGAAAGTACAGCTCTTGCTCACTAGCTTGATGTGCTATTCAGTGTGTAAGTCATGTGTTTTGTAACAGTGGATTGTTTTGGTTAAATTTATTTGCAAAATTTGCTGTGAATCTCTTGCTCTTGGGTGGATGCTTTCACATTAACTCTGCTAACTGCCAGCAATCTGCATGATATCTCATCTTGTATGTCTTTTTTTCTGTGTTTTCTTTCCTTTCCTCTACTTGCTACTTTGCCTGTTATTAATAGGATCAGCCTATATGCACAACGAGTCGTGCCTCTGCCATGACGTCCGCTCCTATCTTCATTTTTCTGCAAGTTTTCATGTGGTGTGGATGGTCAGTTACTTTCTCTAATTTTTTGTTTTGTTCTTGGCTTAAAAAATTAGCAGACTTTTTTACTTACTAAGCATACAAAAGAAAACAGAATGAAGCGAGTCCCAAAAGCAACAATCTGGAGCAAATTACTATTGCAATATTAAGGGAAATTAAATATGAAAAAACCCTGTCTGGAGCCTTATAAATCACAATTACAGACCACAAGGGCCTCTCCCATAGCAAATACAAAGACACAGGAACCTGTTGGCTTTATATGGTTGGCTCTTTGAGATTGCACATGTACCAACCGAGTCAGTGTCATGCCCTTCAAAACATTTTTCCCTTGTCCATGTAAAAATGAAACAGAAGAAAGTTTCCTGCACAAAGGCAAATAAAGGTACAAAGTAATTAGAATATACTATAATACCTGTAAAAATAAAGGTGTACTTATGGATAGCAAGGATGGGTGCTCTGTGTGTTTCTATTGAGAAGAGTAAGGAGTTTTCACCACATTCAAGTGTTAATGATCAAAGTTAATAGTGTGCATTAATTTGGATAAACTATGGATTCAGTAAAATATTTTTACTTTTTAATTTCTTGCAACTTATATTAATTGCCTAATTGCAGCAGAAGGTGAGTTTTTTTCTTCTAATGAAATATGTGGATATATGGAGTCCTGTGTGTTGACCTAGTGCAGACTCTGGGGTTCATAACAAATGACTTGACATTTTAGACTGTGTTAACATTTAGTGTTGTGAGAGTGTGCACTGCTGTGCTAGTGACATATATGCAAGAGAACTGCTGATCTAAAGAGAACAGAATTCATGACCTTATACACTGGAGGGGTTTCTGATCAATATTATTACTCAGAAAACCACTAGAGGGAGATACTAACTTATCTATCAAAGTAAAGCCAACTGAGGCAGAAATGGAAATTTAGAGCTAATTTTTCAGTTAGTGTAGTAAAATACTGAAAATTGTAACAATTTAGAACACTCATTTTCTCAGTATTTTATATTCTCTTTATATTTGGGGGAAGGTTCAATTAATACAACTTTAACGTTAGTGAAAAAAAGCTTAAAGTTCTGTTTAACAGCTGTATTTGAATTACTGTGATGTTCCCTATTCTGTATTTAAATGATCTAATTTCTAGCAAACCTAGGAACTTGCACAGCTATGGCTGAAGGTTGTAAGGAAGGGTGAAAGTCCCTTCCCCCAAGCCAGTGGTATTTCACATTAAAATCTAGAAGATTAACATCTCAATTTGCTCTGCAAGTAACCTTATTTTAATTAAAAAGCTACTGTCCAATGTACATAAAGCAGCATAGACTCACCTTGAGCTGAATTCTTTATGTCCAAAATGGTCTTTCTGCTCAAGAAGGCAAACCAAAATACTGGGAAACACATGAAATATAATTTTAGCTGATAGACTTTTTGCAGCAGAAAGTTATAAAGGTAATTTTGTTCATTCATCCTGTTTTTAATAACTTTGTGGGTTTGGAAATGGGTTCTCACTGGACATTAATCTGTGTAGTTTCATTAAAATCACTGAAGCCAACACAGATACAAACCAGCTAATCAGGTTCAGTAATGGCAGCTGTTTTTTTCTTTTTCTTTTCATCAAGGATAACAAAACAGTCTTTATCACCCCCTTGAATAACTTGCTCTCACTTTGTATATGCACACGAGTTTCGTTTGCTGTGCCTGACACGTTTTTACGCATTCTGGGAATGTCTTACTTCCATCAGCTCCAGGGATATCAGTGGGAGCTCTGATGGTGTTTAGGAACCCAGAAAACTGTATACGTCTTGATGGGATTGACTGTATCCCTGTTCTATGTGTGGGTAGCTGTACAGCTTTGACAGCTTTGTGTGGTAGTCCAGATAAAGGAGGGTAACACAAAATTTATGGCAGACCATGCACTGGGACTTGAAATGACTGTTGAGTAAAAGCAAATGTATTCTCTGTTCAGTATGAAGCATTTAAAATACACATTTATAAAAGGTATAACTTTGAGGTAACCACTTGATATCAAAAGCCAGATCAGAAGCTCTTTGGCAGATGTTGTTGTTTTATCTTTTTTCTAGTCAGTGTAGCACAATGGGTTCTGATAAATGATTAAGGTTTCAGGACAATGTTTTAGTATGTTAAATTTTTATAGTTTACTTCTAAAGGAGTAACAAGTATGTTTATAGACTTAGATATATATGTGTGTATATATATGTATTTATATTTCCAATTGTGTCTTTAAAATTTTGGACTGGCACTGCCTCAGGGAAGTGTTGATATACTGCAATGAATATGTGGGTTTGATACTTAACAATGAATATATGATTTTATAAAAGCATTCATTTTCATTCTGCAAGTGATTAATAATTTTCAGTGTGTGATGTTGTAAAATAACCATCTTTAGAGTTATCATAGTAAGGCATGACATGAAGGAGATGACATTTGGATTTGATGCTTCTCTACCTCAAGCATGCAAATTTGACATGTGACTTATTAATGCAAAAAAGTTCTCATATACTTCTGATTAAATGAAACTGGCTACAGAGGATTCTTTGCAATTTCTTTTCCATTTCTTTCTATCATCAAAGAGAAATATCATACATAATATTATTTTGAAGACAACAAAGAAAGAACCTCCCCAGCTGATCTATTGGTTATTCAGGTTTTCTGCATGACTAATGTAGTAGTGACCGATGTAATGGGCTGGAAAATTTCAATGAAACTGCTTAAAAATAGTTCAGTGTCTTATTGCACAGGCAGAGGTTAAGATAAGGTAAAGATAAGATAAAATGATTCTATGTAATTTGTTATAAGAATTTTTATAAGAAATCTCAAAATTAACATCTACAGGAAATGGTTGAGAAGTTTTTGTAAAACTCAGGAATAGGGGAAGTGTTTTCAAAAATGACATTTTGAAGACCATTCAAAACTCATGTTTTGTTCAGTCTCGTTCCATATTAATGTTGGGATCCCACTCCCGTAAAACTGTTGATTTTTTGAATTTATGTACATCAGCAGGTTTTGGTTTTTGTTTTTTGGGTTGTTTTTTTTTATATATATTTCTTGTAATTTTCACAACAGTTAAAGCACACAAGAAAATCAGAATGTGCAGTACTGGGGAGGAAGAAATAATTTAGATGGGATTTAGTGTAACTTCTTTGCCCCTACTATTTTTGTCTTGGCTTAGGACACAAAAGAATAACCAATTCCAGAGAGAATATTTAGAAATTGTTCTTGGCAGAACTGCTGGTTTACCACTGTAAATTGGTCTACAAACCTCAGAAATTTAATGTGACTTTGATCAATATGAGGTTAAAATCTTACAAACCTTGAAATTACGTGTATATACCTTGTACACTTTTGTCTAGTACAGTTTAACTCTGTCGTTCATAATAGGAAGATTCATGAGGCTTCCAAAACATTCTCCACTGTTGTGAATTTGTGAGTCCTTTAAAAACTTATCTGTGTAGTTTTAGGGAGACAGCAAAATCTATTAAAATATTTCTTTTCAATCCAGTAAGAAAATTACATAGTATAACTTTTGAATGTAAAAGCAATGCCCATAAATTATGATGTATTCAAAAAATGAAATCTCAAAAATCAAGTAGAAATTGGCAACAGAATGATTTTTTTTTTTTTATTATATATTGTGGTAGGTTTAATTAATCAACATAATTTACCAATATTTGGTCTAATGCAGAGGTAACATGAAAGCTGAGTACTGTATAACTCTATATGTGGAGATCCATCTACTCTGTATCTATACTTCTATACTAGATACCATTTTCACTATAATAATATTTTCCTCTTCCTAGTATGCAAAATTTTATTTAAGATCTTCAATTTACTTTTTTCTTAGTTTCCAGACATCTCCTCTCTGTTGGAGAATTTTAAACCTTGGACTTTACTTTAGACTGTTTCTTTAAATATGAGTCTTCTATGTAATTTCAGTGATAAGAATCTTAAATATCAAAAGGTTAACACAGAGTACTGTTTATTGAATTCATGTTTCTGATAATTCTGTTTCTGATAGTACTTTCTGTGAGGAAGAAGAAAAAGAGTTATTTTTAAGTACTTTGAATCAAAATAAAGCTGCATGACAAGACACAATGCAGATGCAAAAAGTGACTGAGCCAAACTAAATAAACCAGAAAGTTCAGTGCATCTTCAAATCTTAGCATCCTACTCCAAATCTGGTGCAGCAGAGTTCACTTACAACTTACTTGTTGACCAGAAACCTTAGGAATTTTGAACTCGTAGAGTGCAGTCAACTAAATAAAAAGCCTAAACCAAAATTAAAGAACTAAATTATAAAGCTAGCAGATGACAGAGACATATATGGAAGTGGCTACTATTGATAAAGAATAGCAGCTAATGTAAGCTATTTGCTCTGGGACAAAAGAAATTATTTTATTAATGGTTTTTGTGGTTTTGTTTTGGTTTTTTTTTTTTTTTTCTGAAGAACTTGAATGCTGGGTTTGGTTTTGGTTTTGGGGTTTTTTTAAATCCAAGCTTCTAAAGGAGACTGCTGGTGAATGCTCTAATTCGTGATGATGTATTGCATCTGTCTGCTTTATCTGATTTTCCTTATATTTATTCCTAACTGATTCTGATTCCTGTGAACTCTCTGCTTTAAAGAATGCATTGTGTGTGCTGGGAATCTCATTAAAGTCTTCACCCCTTAAAACTGACACAAAGAACTCTCTGAAGTCCTTTGCTATGCCCTGTAATCCCCAAGTTCCCTCTTTACACCTCTGTTATCAGGCAGTTGCCCTAACTCCATATTTGGCTTTCAGCTTTTGATTTATTCAAACCTTTCTATTAGAATTTTCAGCGTATTTTGCAGGGAGATCATTAAAAATTCTTTGTCAGCCCTCCTAAATTCTTGTTTATATCTAATCTGCCATTTTTCTGTACTTTTTTGGCTTTGCTCATTTGAGTAGATTGATTTCTTAAATACTGACCTTTTCCTTATGTCAGTGTACTAATTTCCTACTGATTCATGCGGGGGTGTTTCTTTAGAGTTTTGGATTTTGGGG